CTGGCCTAAATGTTTAAAGGACTGTATTGCAGCCAATGGAGACCACTTCGAATAAGCTTTTTGTACTTTTAATTGTTTTATATTTATGTATTAAACTAACACACTGTAAAAGTAATAAACGTTATTTGCCATAGTTTTTTTTTTGTTTCCCTTTGTAACAGTATTTATGGCCAGACTAACCCCCGTATCTTTAGTCGTTTACACGGGCTTAACTCGACTCGACTCAACCTCCAACGCGCGTTTTGGTATGCTTAGTCGTAAAAATAAACTCCACTCAAACGTCCTTGGAAAATTTTCCTAACCGGAGTGAAGTAAGCGAACTGTCTAGTCAAGGTACGTCGCGACGTACCTTGAACGTTCCTCAAGGCTGGTTTTCTATCAATGTCCAAATAGTATGTGAACCGCAAATGGAAATATATGATATTGTTGTGCAATGGCCTGGATCTGTGCATGATTCCCGCATATTTTGATAATATTTATTAATAAAGTAAATAGTTCGAGGTTAGACATTTGAAACTCTTTATTTTATTTACCTACATACTTATGAGTCATATTTTGCTTAGTACCTGATAAATAAAGTCAATGCGATTATAAGTTTTATTTATATAATAATAAACTGGTGGTTGTGGAAAAGCACTTCAACAACACGATGCAACCAAAATCACACAAAAGCGGCGAATAAAAATACAAAGCCGGATTCGAAATCTAAAATAATAATAGGTTAGAAAATAAATAATACACTTTCAGATTTACCGCACACACTCATATTTACGAATAACTCGGCAACCAAAACACCAAACAAGTTCATCTAGTGTCAAACAGACAGCGGCAGCTTGACTTTGACATTAAACAATGACCATAGACTACAGAACTCTATGGGTTTGATCCTAGCTTGATCAAATTTTCATCAATATTACCTCACTTGAGGACAGTTGAGGAATATTGTAATGGTCGACTAAAAATACCAAACTCGAGTAAGTTTGGAGGGAATGCTCGAGCATCATCGGATGAGTTAAGAGTGGAGGACTATTTTACGAAACGTCTAAAGATACGGGCATAAGTATACTCCGCGCGCGAGCTCCGAGGATTCGGGGGCTGAGGAAGAGGGTGGGCGTGCACCGCGCCCGACCGTCGCTTCATGCCCCGCACTCTCCCAGTACTAGTGTTGACCTTAACGTGAGAGTACGCATATCGACTCGTTGTTTTTAATTTTGCGATAGCAGTGTTAATTACGTGTGATTTCTAATATAAATAGTCTTACACTTATAAGTATTTTTGTTTGCACAAATAGCTATTTAATTTGATGAAAAAGGAATGGCGAGTACTAACATAATAAACATGTCTTAGCATTAGAGGAATATTACTGGCAAAAGGATGGCTTAATGGAGGATGTTGTCGAATCATTTATTATTGAAGTATGTGAGGAGAGTACATCAAATTCTTCAACTACTGATTAATCTGATTGCGAGAGTAATTAATAAGATGTCACGTTCATTTTGTTCAATAAAAATCAGTTAATTAAATGAAATTCATACGTGATCAATTGTTTTATTTATTTATTTCAAGTTCATAATACCCTCATAAAACTATTTTATAATTTACACTCGCACGGAGGCTTAAGATGTGTAATTATCGATAGCGCAATATCGACTAAATACAACACCAGCTCATTACGTCAACATTCCTTAAAAATCCTCGGAGCTCGCGCGCGGACAGTACCTATATGTGTGTATTTTATTTCCTACCTAAGCTGGTGGTCTAGAGAAACCATATCAGCGTAACCTTAACTAATAGGTGGGCTCACGGGGCTCAAACCTGACGATGTTGCTAACACGAACCCTAGCAAGAGCCGTACTTTGCAGAATCTACCACCTGATCGGAAACGCGACCCACTGAGAAGATCCGGTGAGAAACTCAGTGGGCTGTGTCTGTGGGTTAATTTACTCGCCGAGCCCTTCGTCGCACGCAAGCGACGGGTTCAACGAGAACGATGACTGGGTAAATATATGAAAATATACATAAGCTTCCAACCCCTAAATAACCTAATAGCGCACCCTCTTAAAGGTAAAATATCGGAAAAAAAGGATAAATTCCGTGCTTTTTAAATTGCGGATTTCCTTATAAAAGGTCATCCTTTATTTTTAACGGTCATCCCTATCGGGGAAGAAATTTCCTAAAATCTCTTTTTAGTGAACGCTTTGAACACAAATGGCATTATCTGCCGATATTTTAAGTTTGGATCTAATGTGGATATGGACGTTTCGAATAATCTACAGCTTCCGTGGGAAAAGACAACTAAGATGTCCTTCGACATTTAAATATTTTGTGGTAACTACCGTCTAATTTCCATTAAAAAAATCTTCATCTTGAATTATGATTATTTAATGATTGCGGAATATTTAAATGAAAATTTAATATGACGTTAATTAATAATAAAATCGAGATTAAGCCGTAAAATTAAATTCAATTATGTTTACGACTCGCAAAAACCGAAGAAAATACTTTATTCCTAGATTCCTATTTTATAGGAACATAATAAAATAAATGTAAACCTGAACATCTTGAAATTTATACAATATACATATACTTACAACATATTTTAACTCATAATGCATAATCACGTTAAAATTCACCGAGAATGTAATGATTACATTCATCAAGTTCTGAAGGCCTGTAATTATTTTGATTACTGTTCGCGTGCGTGCGATTGTTGTATATTGGATAGCCGCTTTTTTTTTAAAGGTTCTCAAACTTTTTTTTTTGCAAAAGAGCCGATTTATGATATGTAGTTACAGGTATCAAGGCCGTCGCTCGTAGAACGTATTCCGCGAAATAACACTATACATATTTTAATACATATTTTCTCGCGAGTCCTATTATATATTATACTAGCGACCCGCCCTCGCTTCGCTTAGGGTACTGTAATTTATTATTGATGGGTCCTGCGATGTTACCCGCGGTTATGGTCGTACCGTGGATGACCCGCGGGGCGAAGCTAGTTCAAATTATATCATCAGCTACCTATCAGTGAAAGTTCCGTCAAAATCGGTCCAGCCGTTCCAGAGATTAGCCGGAACAAACAAACAGAAAGACACAAAAATTAAAAAAAAAGGTTATTTTGGTGTATGTACGTACCGTATATATATTCATATGCATGTAGTAAAAAGCGGTTATTTCAATATTACAAACAGACACTCCAATTTTATTTATAAGTATGGATAATAAATATACATACTATTACTACATTTAGAGTCGTCCGTGGACCATGAAAACGAAAATATTCGAAAAGTTGGAAATTACGTATTGACAATAAAAAAAAGCGAGATCAAAAGTAATTTTATTTATCACACTTTTAAAATTGAAGTGGCCTAACCCAAAATTTTTGTTTGAAAGGCCAAAAATGTTATTGAAGAATTGCAATTTCTTAGTTTTTCGATATATCTATATTTTTAGCAACGGCTTAATAATTTAAATAAATAAAAAAAATACAAAAGTGGGTAGGAACGATCGACACAGAATATTAAATCTAAGACAAGTGAACGTTGCGCGCGCTTCCAGCAAAAGTGATCCGAGGTGGCGTGATGTCCCCGCTGGTCGGTCGGTTGCCCCTCCAGATGACGAGTTGCCCCTCCAGATGACGTCACGNTAACTTTCCACTGTACGCAAGCGTACTTTTGGGAGCAAGCGGAATGAGGGCGCGGTGCGGGACGCAAGGTTCGACTGATCTACCAATAAAGCGCTCGATACGATTTCCCCTGCCGTCGCGCCTCACCCTCACCACCAAAGTGATCTAAAATTCGGTTCTGCGCAGTCAAGGTCATTTGCTCAAGATGTTTGCCGGTTACTATAACCTACTCATCGGCACAACAAGCTTGTGTTTGTTCCTAGTATTTCTATTATGTATGTCCGACTGTTTAGGAAACTCCTCAATATGTTTACGAACATACATCAAATTTTCAAAAATGTACTGGGATGGCATAGTGAGAACTTTAATTTCTTTAAATTTTTCCCTCAGGGATTCCCTTGAGTGCATGTTATAAATAGCACGTATAGCTCTTTTCTGCAGAATAAATATCATTTCTACATCGGCCGCATTGCCCCATAGCAAAATGCCATAGGACATGACACTGTGGAAGTAACTAAAGTAAACTAAACGAGCCGTGTCCGCGTTTGTTAACATTCGAATTTTTTTTACTGCGTATGCTGCAGAGCTGAGCTTACTCGCCAATTTATGAATATGAGGTCCCCATTGCAGTTTGGAGTCCACTGTTATACCAAGAAATACGGTTGACTCAAATAGATGATTAAATTCGAATAATAATTAATCTTAGTATTTGTCTAATTTATTATTAACGAATACGATTTTTCAGTTGAATAGCGTTATAAAACTAGACCAATCTACGAAGATAAAACCGAGTTTTTAATTAATATGTTTTGTGCATTACAAAAAAATCCATGCTTTTTTAAAAATAAACGAGTGTTTTATTTATTTGGTTGTATACGCCATGTTCTTGAGATTTATAATGTTTCCACTGTTTTTTTTTTCTTAGATTATTTCTACTCTTAATATACTCTAACTTGAGGAAAAATGTTAAATTGAAACATCTCTTACGGCATGTATACTTAATAGTAGTATTTCCTTCGTCCATTCAGCTTCATCAACTCGTCCACCGAGCAAACGACTTAAGGCACTATTTTTTTTCCGTACCTATGCTGATAGGCTTGAGAGGCTATTTCAGCGTTGCCCTAGCGTGTAGGTGAGCTCTCGGTTCTCAAACCGGGAGTGTTGCTAGCACTGGCCCTAGCAAGAGCCGTGCTTCGCAGAATCTACCACCGGATCGGAAACGCGACCCACTGAGAAGATCAGGCGAGAAACTCAGTGGGCTGTGTCTGTGGGTTAGTTCGCTCGCCGAGCCCTTCGTCGCAAGCGACGGGTTCGACGAGCACGGTGACCGGATCGACTACTGCGGGGCCACTAGTATAGAATAAAAATTCCTTACCTTTATGGAATCTGACTCCTTTGTAATGTAAAGGTTTCCCGTAAACTCCAATGCCCTTCTCGCCCGTACAAAGCGCCCGGAAGTTCTCTGCGGTTTTCGGGACTACGTCGCTCCTCAGCTCGATCACAATTCGTCCAGCTAATAAAATTATTTTCATTTTATTCATTTTAATCATCAATATTGTAGATACTTTACTGGCTGCATACACACAATACATTTATTGAATTTTATTTTTAATGCAAATGTTACTAAAATCTATACTAATATTATAAAGAGGAAAGATTTGTTTGTTTGTTTGTATTGAATAGACTCCGAAACTACTAAACCGATTTGAAAAATTCTTTCACTGTTTGGAAGCTACACTATCCCCGAGTAACATAGGCTATTTTATTTTTATTTTAAAATAGGGACCCTTACTAAAACTCCAATAATGTTAATAAATTAGGAAAATAATAAAAAAATAGATGAAAACAAATATGTTTTTTTGAAAATAAAATTTCTTTAAATTAATAATGANGACTCCGAAACTACTAAACCGATTTGAAAAATTCTTTCACTGTTTGGAAGCTACACTATCCCCGAGTAACATAGGCTATTTTATTTTTATTTTAAAATAGGGACCCTTACTAAAACTCCAATAATGTTAATAAATTAGGAAAATAATAAAAAAATAGATGAAAACAAATATGTTTTTTTGAAAATAAAATTTCTTTAAATTAATAATGATTATTCAAACTACCTGTATAATTTTCTATTTTTAGAATCCTGACGCAAATATAGGGGTTAATGTGTGTGTATTATAATTTTTTATTTAGAAATGTTTGTTAAAGACCCGAGCGAAGCCGGAGCCAGCCGCTAGTGTAAAATAATTAAAAAACTACAGAGTAATTAAATACGTACTATTATATATTGCGTAAACGAATGATAGCCGTTATTCTAATATTATTATTATATTATTATTATTATTATTCTAATATACTGGTGGTAGGACCTCTTGTGAGTCCCCACGGGTAGGTACCACCACCCTGCCTATTTCTGCCGTGAAGCAGTAATGCGTTCCGGTTTGAAGGGCGGGGCAGCCGTTGTGACTGTACTAAGACCTTAGAACTTATATCCCAAGATGGGTGGTGCATTTACATTGTAGATGTCTATGTGCTCCAGTATCCACTTAACACCAGGTGGGTTGTGAGCTCGTTCACCCATCTAAGCAATAAAAAAAATAAGACTTAGATCACATTTATCACGGTTACCTCGATGCATTTTTAAAAGGTATCTAACATATTATTATTATGTACATATTTCTTCATGATCATTCTTTCATCTATAATAAATTCTAAATTTATAATATTACTAGCGACCCGCCCCCGCTTCGCTTCGGAAACATTAAAACACACATGAAACCAAAAAAAAAAAAATTTTTTTTTAAAAAAGTAGCCTATGTTCATCAGGGACAATGTCGGCTTCTAATGGAAAAAGAATTTTCAAATAGGTCCAGTAGTTTCGGAGCCTATTCGAAACAAACAAACAAACAAATCTTTCCTCTTTATAATATTAGTATAGATTATATTATATATTATATTATATTATATTTATAATATTATGTGGTTATGCGGTCGACGCTCCATTTAAGTAATTTGTTTTACGAGACTCGCTTCATGAGAGTGCCAGATTAATCGCACAAAAGTAGATGATGAGATGCTGTTAGACAAATACCACGACCGCTCTCAAACGAGCCATAAACGTTTAAGGCGAATTTACATTACGAAATTAGTGGCGTGAAATTAATTTCGTGACATTAGTTTTACTAACAGTTTCACGTGTAATTTAATACTTTCGTAATGCATGCATTAATTTCATGCATGGAAATTAGTTTCGTGCCCTGCGCGATTTTTTAGTGAAATTAATGTCATGCAACTAACTTCATAGTGTAAACGCGACGTTAAGAACAAGATATCTTCGACAAAACTAACATTTATAAAATATTTTATTAAACTTTACAACTTTTTGTACCGTTCAATAGAAACAATAAAATAGAAACTGTAATATGATACATTTAGTAGGTACGGCGGATTTTGAACAATGACGTCATCGTTGTGTATTATGAGCTATGTATAGTATGAAAATAAAACTCGAATAATTTCCTTATTCATTTCATTAAATACATACCGGATATTAAGATTCTAATTGCCCTCATGATATTTGGATGTATACATATGTACATATTAATCTAAGGCGGTGATTAAAGACAAAGCGATGCACCGATATTTAAGTAGTTTTATATGTATGTATATGTTTTTTTCATATTTTCACTAGCTGACCCGGCAGACTTCGTAAATCGATAAATAAAAGACGTAAACTTTTGTATAAAATTAACTTAAAACAAATAAAAGTAATCCGTCCGACGTGGGCCACATCAAATNCATATGTACATATTAATCTAAGGCGGTGATTAAAGACAAAGCGATGCACCGATATTTAAGTAGTTTTATATGTATGTATATGTTTTTTTCATATTTTCACTAGCTGACCCGGCAGACTTCGTAAATCGATAAATAAAAGACGTAAACTTTTGTATAAAATTAACTTAAAACAAATAAAAGTAATCCGTCCGACGTGGGCCACATCAAATGAAAAACAAAATTGTTATTTTTATTTAATACCCAGCATTTTTTTATTTATCTACCTTTTAAACCTTCTCTGGACTTCCACAAATAATTCAAGAACAAAATTAGCCAAATCGGTCCAGCCGTTCTCGAGTTTTACCGAGACTAACGAACAGCAATTCATTTATATATATATATATTACTAAGAAGTGAGTAGGATCTCGCGGTCAATATTTTATGGTTAAAGCAGAACCTATAGCATCAAGAATGCCACTTCCCTCCTCGAACCATACGATTCCTCGTTCTTTTGTTAAAACACCTTTTCGGTTTTCGGTTAAAAATCTATTTCAACCGAAAACCGAATGATCTATTTGGACTCACTGTATTTCGTGCGGACTTAGATATTTAAGTGCAATTAGACTCCGCTTTAAAAATACATAATATATACATACTTCTATATATAATAATAAGTAATATCAATTTTTACCGATTCCCATACATAAAATTTCATTTACAATATTTCTATTTATTTATAATTACGGCGCGTCTGCAATTTCCAATTGACATAAATTTCTTTCAACAACTTTTTATCTTTCCAATTTAATAAGATTCCGTATTCCATTCACTCGACACAACAAATTGCATGATCTAGATTCGTCTTACACGCTCAATCTGGGAAATGTAAAACCCATTAGAAGTAAGTCTACGGTCTACGAAGATAGAATCCGCTTAAGCAGTTAGTCCAATGCTATTAATATGTTAATCAAGGCGAAAAAAAAACAAACAAAAAACATAGGACTATCCTTAGATATGTTACCTAAGTACAGAAGCGTGAATTGTGTGCTTAGTGAGTTTTCTTTTTTTTTTTTAACTTCTCGTTCACGTAAAAGTTTCGGCTTCCCTTTGTTTGCCGCTAGGGGCGCTGTTCCAACTGCATACAAATTTGTGTTAACTTTTACGCTATCGAGAACGTTAAAAAACTCACACTAAGCACACTGTATAGTACTTCGCATCATTCGCAAAGGTTGAACAATAACTGTGTAGCGATTGGCTATCCAAGAAAACAAGATTATTTAATAGATAGTAAAATCTCGTTTAGCTTTTATTATGTTATTTAATATTATAAATCTATTTAAGTTAAATGTTAATGTGTGTAGATTTTATCCAGTTGTGTGAACCTAATAAATAAAGGTATCTCGTGGTATCTCGCACGGTAAATTTGCATAGACACAAGTTTAAAATTAAATTAACATTAGGACCGTCGGTTTGCGAGCGAGCGAATGTTATTGCTCGGTACCCATAAAACTGCTGAATGTTTCGGTACATCAATTAGTTTTCAGAGATTTTAAAACCTTTATGTAAGTTCTTAGGCATTCTCAATCCTTCAATGTATCCTCGTTTTTACACACAAGCGGTTAATAACTATCATAGCACACTTTGCAGGACTGGACGAGGCGAATCTCTGGGCTCCAGTAAAGACCTAACACCAGGTGGGCTGTGAGCTCGTCCACCCATCTAAGCAATAAAAATAAAAATCAATAATCCGACACGTGTCGTTGATTATTTTACTAACAGAACGCTAATGTATCTCTTGAGATGTTTTTTTGAATTTTTGATGTAGATCAGCAGACGGTACAATGGCCTCATTCGCCTTGCGGTCGGGATCTCGTATTCGGAGCTCACATTCAGGTCGTAAGTTGGGTACGTACCGCAAAGTTTTCATTTACGTACTAAGCTATCCATTCGTAGAAAAATGTCCGCGACTAGCAGCCCTTTCGCTCTGTGTTGAACCAATACCTTTAACGCTTTGACCGACGATTTCGTTTACGCTTCTTGCTTACAATGGTAATGGTACGGCACCTGAGGCACGAGATTGAAATTGGGAACCTTCTGTTACGCCGGCAATATCAAAAGAACTAGTGATATCGAGAACGCTCGAGAAGTGTAACGCCATCTATTACCAAATAACGGAAACACATCGAAACGACTCGCCCTATCGGGAATGTTCTCGATAATTGTAAAGCTGTTGTGTCGACTATAAAAGCGTTTAGTAATTAGTAATCGGTTCTACTCGAAGCGAAATAGCGGACGGATCATTTGAAGCGAAGCCGAAGAAGTTAATTACGAAGCGATCTAAGTGTTAAATAGAGTTTTAATTTGTACTTCGGTGGAAGTTGTATTTATCCCGAACCCCATCACATAGCACTTCACTCGATTACGGTCTCCATACCGAAACGCCATGCTAGAAATATTAGGTACTAGCGATAATGCTGCATTAAATATTGCATCAATATACAAATGTAGATACTGCAGGTAACCTTAATATTTGTTGATAAACTTTATGTCAACAGTCAAACTTTATGATTATTTAAGAAGATAACGAAATAAGTATTTTTCTTTAGCGAAACTGTTACTATTATGTTGTTTCTTTTACATTTGTGCAAATATGATGAATTTCATACAATGCTAAGAGTATGTTTAAAGTGGTTTTCAATGTTTTCTATTCGTTCTCAAAATTAAATTGAGATACCAGTATTTCCTTTATATTTACTAGCATAGTTGGATTATAGTTTAAGGTTTATCATCAGTAACAGCAGATACTTGTGTAGATCCTACTTCAGCTGCCACTTTCGCCAACCCTATAAGCATCCCTACGTTGGTTGCAAAACAGATGTACTGTATCGCGCCTTTATTATTTGCCTTTGTAGGGAGAAATGAGCCTACTGTCCACCTGATCAAATAGATCAATAAAGCATTACTGCCTGGATGGTTTTAATTGATAAAGTCCTATTCCATTCTACACTTCCAATTTTAGATATTTGGGCTTCTTGGATATTTTCACTGCCTCTACGAGCCGAGGTAAGTGAACAGTTCTGCTGAAGAAAATTAATCAAGATAATAGTTTAAACATAAAATTAGGACTAAGTCAGCTTGAAGAAATTTCCTAAAAAAGTACTATATACATACAAAATGGTGTGAAGTGGAATTGGTGATTGTCATCACTCTTGATGTTTGTATGTGTCATCCCATTTGTGTATTGAACCAATATCTAAAAAATAGATGAAATGCAGGGACCAAAAGCTGTTGGATAATTTCAATCTTTCTAAGAGATTAGGAGTATCAAATAAAGCAATCACCACAAAGGCCAATAAAAGAATATCTATCTCTTAGGTTTATGGCGTTTCCTTTTAGATTTCGCCAATGTCAAGTGTATTTAATACTCTGCTTTCCTGAAGCTGTACTTTTTTGGCATGAGACATATTGTCTCTTTTATTTATAAACAATCCCTACCTACCCCAATAAGAATGATTTTTAAATGTATTATAAAATAAACATACATGTATTCCAGTAACAATTTATTCATGAAATCTTTTTATGTATGAGTAATGTACAGTGTTCAACTTAAACTGACTTAGATATGTAAATTATAATAAAATAAAGGTTCAGAATAAAATAAATTATATTAAACTGTGAGATATGTATAAATTTTATCAAATTATTCCTGTATATATTTGTTTGAGATCACCATGCCCATTACTGCACATAGGTACCTCTGTTCTATTTTGTAATATTTTTTCATTTGAATGGTGTCGACATTTTCACTTAATTTGAGACAAAACAGTAATTGTCATCACGAAACACGATTTTTTTACTTCAAAACAAAATTTACATTTTATAATGCATTTTATTATTTTCAATGAAATGATCGATCTATAAATAGCGCTTTTATGATTGTAGCCTTTAACAAAATGTAGCAAACGAATTCCAGTTTCCGGCAAGTTGAACAAAGGTCAAAATAGCAGTAACAATGTTGCAAAAACTGCATAGCGCTGCATAATTGTATTCGGTAATTAAATAAAAAACTTAATGTAAAAATATACGTCCTAAACATTCTTGGTTCCTAAAGAAGATAAGTACTCTAGGAAGTAACTATTTACCTGATACTCCATCAATAGAGATGTCCAAATAAACAAAAGGATTCGTTTGTGACCGCCTGTCGGAACTCATTTCACAGCACTTGGATTGTAAAAACAAGTAAATACTGAATGCGTACAACTTTTTTCTTAAATTAGACCCTTCAATGCAATAAAATAGAGCACTCAAATTATTTTAAATTTAAAGAAACCAAAAAGTCAACTGCACCGGGCAAGCTGCGTGCGGCAAGCCAACAGATTAGGCATGTGAAAAGTATCGGAGCATATCAATACATACACTGATATAAAAAAAAATGGATAAGTCAGTGTAGGTATCTATCGATTTAAAATCAAAATAAGTAAAAGATAAAAAAAGATGGCAACATTCACGTCTATGGGCTCTGCAACCTGTTAACAACAGGAAGACCGAAATCTAGTTCACACATCTACTAAAATATGTCTAGGATATGGAGACGACAGCCTATGTATATACGTAGCGAATGGCGATGCGACCTACGTGATATAGTAAGTCGACATGAACCAATCTGGACTTTTTTGGCGGAAACGCGAGGAGTGAAGTTGTGTGATTTGTTTTATTTTGTCTATTTAGTGTATCTTCAGGTTTAAATGTGTAATAACGGTGGTTTATTAACTGTTTAATATCTGTGAAAGTGCACAAATGTAGGAAAATGAAACAAAGCCGCTGGACGCAATTTCTCGGGCTCCTCCAAAAAGTTCACTGAAAAAGTCTTAGTAAAGGACCACCATTTTACTAAGATTATATTTCATCCCATATCATCTCATCTCATCTCATTTCTGTTAATTTCATCCCAGTTGATTAATGTCTCAAATTAATCATATTATCATTTTTCATAAAGATAAGATTAAAAATTAAAATAAGACTTGACCTAAAGGTCTTAGTTACCAGGTCATAAAATCCCTTAAAAAAATGACCCAATCTATATCCTAATCTATAACGTTGACGTACCAAAATCCGAAACTTACGTTTGTAATAAGATAATGTAAACTATTGTAAAGTGTAAAATTTATCTAAAATATAGCAGGAACTGGTAAGTTACAAATAAACACATTTCAGATTAATCTGGTAACGATACATTTCAGTAAAATAGACACTAAATATTTCATTTTGGTGTCATATGTAAATTATAACTTCAAGAATGTATCACAGTATATTTTGATTTATTTCAGCTTCACCATGTCTTCTTCGGCTATATACATACTAGATGTCAAAGGTAAAGTTCTCATTTCGAGAAATTACCGTGGTGATGTTGATCTGGGTGTGATCGACAAATTCATGCCTTTACTGATGGAAAAGGAAGAAGAGGGAATGTTAACGCCTTTATTACAGACTAGTGAATGTACATTCGCCTATATCAAAACCAACAACTTGTACATTGTATCAACCACAAAGAAAAATGCTAATATTGCACTTGTGTTTGTATTCTTGTACAAAATTGTTGAAGTTATGACTGAGTACTTCAAAGAATTAGAGGAAGAAAGCATTCGAGACAACTTTGTGGTGATCTACGAGCTACTTGACGAACTCATAGACTTTGGATACCCTCAGACCACTGATAGCAAAATTCTACAAGAATACATCACCCAAGAAGGTCATAAACTTGAAATGCAGCCCAAAATACCCATGGCGGTTACCAATGCTGTGTCGTGGAGGTCCGAAGGCATAAAATATAGAAAGAATGAAGTCTTCTTGGATGTTATCGAGTCTGTAAATTTATTAGCCAACTCAAATGGTAATGTACTGAGGAGTGAGATTGTTGGAGCTATTAAAATGAGAGTGTACTTGTCTGGTATGCCAGAATTACGTTTAGGCTTAAATGATAAGGTCTTATTTGAAAGTACCGGCAGAGGAAAATCAAAGTCTGTAGAGTTAGAAGATGTGAAGTTCCATCAATGTGTTAGATTATCACGTTTTGAAAATGATAGGACCATCTCATTTATACCTCCTGATGGTGAATTTGAATTGATGTCATACCGACTCAACACTCATGTAAAACCTCTGATTTGGATAGAGTCTGTTATTGAGCGTCATGCTCATTCAAGAGTTGAATACATGATAAAAGCTAAATCTCAGTTTAAGAGACGATCAACTGCTAATAATGTTGAAATCATTATACCAGTTCCTGCTGATGCTGATTCACCAAAATTCAAGACAACAATTGGTAGCGTTAAATATACACCAGAACAAAATGCGATCACATGGTCAATCAAATCATTTCCAGGAGGCAAGGAGTACTTAATGAGAGCTCACTTTGGTCTGCCTTCTGTTGAATGTGAGGAAGTTGATGGAAAGCCCCCAATTCAAGTAAAATTTGAAATACCGTATTTCACAACTTCTGGAATTCAAGTAAGATATCTGAAAATTATTGAGAAAAGTGGATACCAAGCCCTACCTTGGGTAAGGTACATTACTCAGAATGGTGATTATCAGTTAAGAACAAATTAAAAAGTACATTCCATTTGGAGCTTCAATAGAAATTGCATTAGCCATAAAAACTTAATCTATGCTAAAATAGTAATTCAAAACAACATTTAGTTAATTTGATATGTTTGTATCATTATTGTTGATGAAGTCTGTTTCCAAACAGTCTCGCCTAGCACTAGATAGAAGGTCTGTGACTAATGTAAAAATAATGCTGACTTAAAAAAAGTTAAGCCGTAGAGCTCCATTAGATGTTATATGCACCTTTCAATTTCAGTTTAATAAAATTATATATTTTAATCATAGATATTTGTTTGTTTGAAGTATTGCATTTTAATTGACTATATTATTGTAATAAATTAATAATAATAATACAATTTGTGGTTCATAATTTTCATCCTTTAGATTAAATTTCCTTAATATTATCTGAAACGATTGAAGTCCCTCTCATCGTGGCCGCCACTAATTACCTATCCGACCTAGATAACGGGGCAACGCAAAGCAGCCATCGCCCCAAAACATCGGATCCCCAGATCCATTCAGTGCTTTTAGACTCTTCAGTATCCGTCACCGTCTTCGTCGAGTTCGCTGAGTGAACTCACCATTAGACGCAACCCACTAAGTTTCACGCCGGATCTTTTCAGCGGATTGAAATACCGACCTGGCGGTAGATTCTGCGAAGTAGTACAAAGCACTGCTCTCGTTAAAGCCAGTAATAGCACGTTCTGTCAGGTTAAGCCTTGTGAGCTCACCTACCAGTCATAACGTAGCTGGAATAGCCCTTAGGCTATCAGCGAATTGGTAAGGAAAAAAAAAGACCTACATGATTTTAAGCGGTATAATGGCATAAGCATCACAATGTGAATGCATAATAAGATGAAGCTACAGTTTATTTATTTTGTATAGGTAAAACTTTCATTGCAATGTCGACTTCCTACTTAACAGTTAACTTAACCTAGCGTGTTGTGAGATAGGATGGTTTTGAGTATATATTTTTTTTAGAAATTAAAACGTTGCGTATCAAATATATCTGGATCTTTCAAATTGGAATGTAAAATAATCAATAAAATTCGCGGCAGAAATAGCCGGGATGGCACTCTTTAGGGATCACGATTATTAACTGGTAGGTATATATATCCGAGAATTACTTTTTTCCCACATAGGTAATCATTGATAGCTTAAAGGGCTATTTTACTCTACAACTATTCACGGACGGGTAGGTGAGCTCACGGGCCCAACCTGAGAGGAGAGAATAGCTATTAATGCCTCCAGCAAGAATAGTGCTTCGCCCGAGAATTTCCATATTTCTTATTTAAAATAAAATAAAATACAATTTACATTAAGAGAGTTTATAAAAAAATTGTCAAACTGTAAAAGGATAACAATTTTTTTTATTTTAATGATAAATGGAAAATAATTACCTACTCCACAAAAAACTTGTGGTTTTTTTTGTTTGCCAAATGTCAAATAAGATTAAGGTTATATTTTTGTTTACACAACATTAAAGCGTAAGAATTTAGAAATTCAGAATGAAAATACTAAATAAAAAGATAGCATGTATTAATTTGAAAACGCACAGCTTTTTAAATAAAGTTAATGTCGGCAATCAAAGATTCTTAAGTGATGTTCTACCGACCACAGAATTCAAAGTTTTAAAGAAGCAAAAGAAAAGTAATGATATCCCAAATGTAAATAACGAAGAACCAAGCCTATCTAGCGAATTGAGGGTTAACGAATTTAATATACAGATGATTTCTAAGAATATATATGAGCAACTGTTTAAAAAGCCCAGTTCTTCACCAGATCCTGAGGTTATCAAAAGGTAAATTTTAAAATAAAATATTTCAACAAGATAGCTAGCTGTATTGCATCAAAACCAAAATCTCGCTTCATCGGTATCAGCATATCTTCTAATAAATCATCTGATTCACTTAATGTGTAATACCATCTAGTAAGAATTATTTTGATTCAAATTATTCCAGACCTCAGCTTGTTTTACTAAGGCTGGGATCAGTAGACCAACAGTTTGAATATTGCTGTCGGGATTTATAGTATGTACGATTTTTTTGTATTGCTGTAAAAAAATTCAGGTTTTTGTCTGATTTTTCTTTTTAGTTATCAGTAACTTCTAAAATATTCTATATCCATCTATATATATACAAAAATAATTAGATTATTGTATCACTTCATAAACTCTATCATATTCAATTAAATTTCAGCTGCCAAGAAAGTTTACTCCGACATGGCATAGATTACAAAAAGTGCAGTAATTATTTACCTGATGTAACTCTTAAATTGCCCAAATTAGAAGGTCAAGATATAGTGGAGCATTTTCATAACATTGGTGAGAAGCAGTGTGCTCCCTATAGGAGATTGATAAAAGATTTGGCTGGTGCAAGACTGCCTAATTTACCAAAGGTCAGATCAGAGAATTTAAAATATTATGGATACATATTAAGATTTCGATTTCAAAGTAAGCTATTGAACAAAACAAATAGTTCTCAACAGCTAATAAATAAAAATTGAAAAATAATCACACAACAAACTCTCATACTCTTTTACTCTTTAATATTTGCCTAATTTGTTGTGCCTAGTTTGTTGTAACTATACTGAGACCTTAGAATTTATATCTCAAGGTGGATGGAGCATTTACATTGTAGATGTCTATGGGTTCCAGTAACCACTTAACATCAGGTGAGCTGTGAGCTCGTCCACCCATCTAAGCAATAAATAAAAATTTTTGTAGATAGATATACTCTGAATATGCTAGTGTTTGTAACTGAACACCTACATGGACTTGTAATCATGAATTTGAATTTTGTGTGTTTGAGTGGTAACCTGGATAATTTAAATTTTCAATTGGTACTGCCTGGTGGGTTCGGCAATGTCAGGCTATGTTTTTTTCAGAACAAGAATTCTCCTGTCGTGTCTGTTCGGTCTCTTTTACTACTATATAGGATTAATAAAACTTTTGCTGTACTCCTAATTACAGAAATGGTCTAAAACCTGTGGTTGGAGTAGATATAATAAAAACACAATCGAAGCAATACCATGCCCTCCAGATGATGCTCTTATATTTGATGTAGAGGTTCTTATGTCAGCAGGCAAGAGACCCACATTAGCATGTGCGGTTTCGGCCAATGCATGGTTTGTATTTTTACGTTGTCAAGTTAGATTCAGAGATTAATTTTAAAGGAGTTGATATAGTAACAGCTATTTTTAGTGAAACACATACAATAACCAGGTTTATAAATTACTTTAGATTCAACTTCCATGATCAAGGAATAGCATTATGTAATTAAACAAGGGAAATTTTTAAATTTGGGTATTCATTAATAGTCTGCCAATTTCTTCAATTAATCAATTATCTGTTTTGGTTTGAAAGATTGTACAGACATCAATACAAAGCATATATGACTTCGACCTATTATCACATAGTGAATGGTATTAACGTTATAATGTCTATGGTTCCAAATAACGCTTAATCATGATTATTGACTAAGGCATTCTTTACCCATCAATCAAACAAGATACACCAAATAAAAATAAAGTAAAAATATATATCATACATACTTATTTATTTTAATTCAAATACTCTACATACATGGAATAAATGCATAAACAAAGTGAAACATAACTTAAAATTACCAATTAACGAATATTTGGTCAGTCAAACACAGTCAATGGTTAATGGAAATCAGTGTTATCTTTGGTACTTTTATTGGGTGCCCGATATTTTTGACCTAGATGCGTTCTGTACCGAATTAAAGGGTAAGAGTGGCCTTTGGCTCTGTGTGCTTATTGTGAGTTTTTAACGTCTCGATAGCGTAAAAGTTAACTCAGTTGGTACGTTTGCCTGCGTTTGCCGCTAGGGGCGGTGTTAGACTTGCAATAAACACGCTGATGTTGAGAAATGTTCTTTGGTACTACGAGTATGAAAAGCGGCCACATAATTTTAATATCGCAGGTACAGTTGGGTCAGTGAACCTGTTGCCAATGAGGAAACTCATAAATACTTCGAGAGTGTTAACTACGAAGACCTGATACCTCTGGAGACGGACGGCATTAATCCTTGTGGAGATCTGCAAAGGCCTCGCATAGTCATAGGCCACAATGTTTCTTACGACAGAGCCAAGATTAAGGAACAATACTGGCCAAATAAAACAGGTACCTAATTAATTGTACACTATAAACCGTAGAATTATTTGTGGTACATCCATCTATTATCAAAGCTTGCTAATATAAATCCCACCTGACATCGTTACTGACATCGTTGCCCGGCTGTAAAAATCTATACACACAACCCACTGAAGTTGGAACAGTGCCCATAGCGGTAAACGTAGGCAAACGTTTTAACTCCATACAAATTTGAATTAACTTTTACGCTATCGAGAACGTTAAAAAACTCGCACTAAGCACACTGGACTCTTAATTGCATTTTGTAACGGCTTCCGAACTCTTATTTTTGTTTTATTGCTTAGATGGGTGGACGAGCTCACAGCCCATCTGGTGTTAAGTGGTTACTGGAGCCCATAGACATCTACAACGTAAATGCGCCACCCACCTAGAGGTATAAGTTCTAAGGTCTCAGATATAGTTATAATGGCTGCCCCACCCTTCAAACCGAAACGCATTACTGCTTCATGGCAGAAATAGGCAGGGTGGTGGTACCTACCCGCCCGGACTCTCAACCACCTCCTACCACCAGTAATAAGATTCAAATCGGTAAACCTAAAAGCCTCACGTCCGATATACGTGTTGGCTTCCGGTTGCATATCGACGCTTGAAAGGCAAACGTGACTAAGCGACGATGCGTGAACTTTACAGTAGATTAACTTAAAGTTGAAATACCTGAAAAAAATTCTATCTTAACGAATCTAGCTGTAGGATTGAAATGATTTTAATAGACCTAAATATATATTTTTTGCGCTTCGAATATGGTTATTGCCTATCATTTACATATGTATAATGCAGTTATTGTCACTTATTCACGTTTGTCTTTCAAGCGTCGATATTTATAATTCTATCAATGGTTCGTCACGTTTCAACTCATTTGATTCTGAGAATTTATTGTATTATTTTGGCAAATTCAGGCGTACGTTTCATGGACACGATGTCCATGCACACGTGCGTGAGCGGGGTGACCAGCTACCAGAGAACTGTCCTGAAGACGAAGAAAAAGGAACCAGATCCCTCCGACGAAGACTGGATCGAGATAAGCTCCTTAAATAGTTTATCTGAGGTATTTATTTTATCACTAGCTGACCCGGCAGACTTCGTAGTGCCTCAATCGATAAATCAAAGACCTGAACTTTTGTATAAAATAAACTTAAAACAAACAAAAGGAATCCGTCCGACGGGGGACACAACAAAGGAAAAACAAAATTGTTATTTTTATTTAATTTCGAGCATTTTCATTTTTATCTACCTTTTAAACCTTCTCTGGACTTCCACAAATAATTCAAGACCAAAATTACCCAAATCGGTCCAGCCGTTCTCGGGTTTTAGCGAGACTAACGAGCAATTCATTTTTATATATATAGATTATTCTTTCCTTTTTTTTCTATATGTTTACAAAGAAAAATACATAACAAAATAGTAATCGTTATCCATAGCTTGAATCTAAATTTAGTGGTTCCCGTAAAAGAATGCCCCTTGTGATAAGAATATCTACCAGGGGCGAACACTGGTTCATTGTCGTAGCCTAATAAGTAGAACGTCCGGTGTAGTCATCTAGAGTCTGGACCAATGCGACTATGCCTTTGTTCAAATAGCATTAGTCGATTTAAATATTCTTAAGTAAATACGTACTTAACACATGTTCACTTCATATCAACGATGAAAGAACAAATAAAAAGCGGAACTGTTTTAAATTTCCAAAACCTTTCAAGGTCCACAAGCTGTACTGCGGCAGAACCGTAGACAAAGCGACGCGAGACATCTTTGTGGACGGTACAATGCAAGACGTCCACAGTAACTTTCAGAAACTAATGAATTACTGCGCTGCTGACGTCATCGCGACACATAACGTACTAAATCGCCTACTGCCGATGTTCTTAGAAAGGTTCCCGCATCCCGTGACGTTAGCGGGGATGCTCGAATTAGGTATGAGCTTTATTTAGCTCTCTGCTTTTCTAGGCTTTTTACACAATTGATTTTTGTATTGGGTATCGATTATTTAATATCTTTCATAGGCGCACATAGGGAGACAAACTAATTACCCAAATTACGTGACACAAGGCTACCAGTCTTTTATATTTTTATTTAATGCTTTGATGGGGTGGACGAGCTCACAGCCCACCTGGTTTTAAGTGGTTACTGGAGCCCATAGACATCTACAACGTTAATGCGCCACCCATCTTGAGACATAAGTTCTAAGGTGTCAGTATAGTTACAACGGCTGCCCCTCCCTTGAAGCCGAAACGCATTACTGCTTCACGGTAGAAATAGGCAAGGCGGTGGTACCTACCCTTGCGGACTCATAAAAGGTCCTACCACCAGTACCTCCTATCAAAAGGTAATTTTATTTAATTAAACAATAGCCAATTAGCGTACATACAGGCGGCGTTTACTTTAAACCGTTGATAATTATCGCAGGTATGGCGTACCTCCCTATAAATTCGAATTGGACTCAGTACATAGATTCGGCTGAAACAGTATTCGAGGATATGAAGCTTGAGTCGCGTCAGTTATTGTCTTTGAAGGCCGATGAGGCGTGTCGTCTTATGGAGAACGAGGCCTACAAAAAGGACCTCTGGATGTGGGACCAGGACTGGTCGGTGCAGAAATTAAAATTAAAAAAACAAACAATCAAAAAAAAGAACGTTGTCGCCGAAGTAAGAACGGAAGCGGATGTCGAATGCACTAATCGAAAATTGACCAATGAGAGCACAGAAGAAGTCTCAACTGAAGAAAAAACATTTGATATTCTGAACGAAGAATACATAGATTACGTTGAAAATGCTAACAGGATCAAAGGTACTGGTGCAGATCGAACGGAAGCAGAATTCAAATATTTGTTCGATCTCGAGAAGTTGTTGCCAGTTAAAAGGCCTCTGTTGCCCGGATATCCGGCTTGGTACCGGAAACTGTGCACGAAGCCCGGCAAAGATCCGGATTGGGCGCCTGGAGCCAACAACATCACGACAAGTATGCAGGTATACCACTCGAGTCGCTCTAAATATTATTTCGTTTTGAGTTTAATAGACTCCTTAGACATTAAATTGCATCAATGTACTTTTTGTTTGTACTGTAGAATGGGGGGAATTGGGACCTTTTCCAAATCCAACACAAATTTTCAATGGTTTTTCTTAGGGTTAATACCAGTAAAATTGAGATTAAAATTGTTCCGGAGGCTTAAATTTTATACATAGTTCATAACAAAATATACACAAAAGCTAAAAAAACTAGCTTGACCCGATTCACCTTGGCTTTGGGGTGAATCAGATTACGTATGGGGACAATAGAGTTTTTCGATAGGGCTGGCACTATTTAGTTGTTAGGTAGGTAATTAACTTTTTAATATCTTTACTGAGTTACAAAACTTTGATGACTAAATTAAAGTATTCAATATTCTTAAACACTAAATAAAAGTCTTTTCAGTTCAACGAAGTTAAATCTAACAACTCAACAAAAGTATTGTGACATCTCAGATTTGTCCCCATTCCTCCCAATCTACTGTACCAAAAATGCAACTCCTAACTTGTGCAATTCAACGAACCATCAAAGTGACCAGCCTACGAGTGTTTACAAAAATATTCCACCGTCAGATAACTCCAAAACTCCTGCGTCTATCCTGGGAAGGTTACCCCCTACACCACGTAAAGTCTGAGGGCTGGGGCTTCATGGTTCCATTCAGCAGGGAGGTACGCGACGAGGAGAACCCTCGCCTGCCTCTCGAGCAGCTGTTGGAGAAATGCCCTTTGCTATTCAGTAAGGGAGAAGTGGATACTGATTTGTATGTACTACCGAAGACTGTTGAGGTAAGCGTACTTTTTATTAATTGCTTAGATGGGTGGACGAGCTCACAGCCCACCTGTTTACTGAAATCTTTAGAACTTATATCTCAAGGTGGGTGGCGCATTTACGTTCTAGATGTCTATGGGCTCTGGTAACCACTTAACATCAGGTAGGCCGTGAGCTCGTACACACAACAGCAAAAAAAAAAAAAACCTTACATAGAAATTATATATTGAGAATAAAAAAGAAAATTAACTAGAGCATTGTTTTTATCGATCGATATTTCAGCTCTTAGCAAAACAGCTTGACTGATCCCTGAACTGAAAACCAATCCTTCCGAATTCCATTCTAGAATCAATCACAGAATACCTTAGTTTCCCACGAAGTGTATCGCTAAGGAACGTAATTAGCTAATTTTCTTCACATATAGGAGGACCTCGGCAGACGGGCGTACTACGCGAGAAAGACTATCGAAGAGAAGGCTGCTGCTAATCAGTACCACGGCCTCGGAGTGTGGTGTGGCATACAGCTGCAAGGTAACGACGTGACCATCCGTGACCGTCTGTGACCATACGTGACCACGCCTTGGGTTGTCGACTTACAATAGCACTGCCCTATCTCTTCCTTCCTCCTGTCGTAAAAGGGGATTAAGGCAATCACCAGAGAATGAAGAGCAGCGTTCTTGAGTTTGGCACCAGCTTTACTGGTGGTAGAACTATATAGTGGCAGACTAGACGCAGCAGACAGAAGCCTAGGAGCAGGGAAATCATGGAGGTTATAAGTACAATTGGTGCGGCATAGTATATACATAGGTGGCAGCATTCACGTCGTGATGTCCCTTGACTCTGGTGTCCACTAAATTTCAGATGGGCTTTGGTCACGTCTGCCTACCTACACGAAACAATTTTTTTTATTTTTTATTGCCTAGGTCGGTAGAAGAGTTCACGACCCACCTGATGTTAAGTGGTTACTGAAGCCCATAGACATCTACAACATAAATGCCGCCGCCCACCTTGAGGCATGAGTTGTAAAGACTCATTTTTTTAACAGTACCACGGCTGCCCCGCCCTTCAAACCGAAACGAATTGCTGCTTCACGGCAGAAACAGGCGGGGTGGTGGTACCTACCCGCGCGGACTCACAAGAGGTCCTACCGTCACTAAATTTATTATAGTTGCTCTCCGACCTCATGCTTCCAATGTCCCGTACAGGTTGTTGCCATTTTTTGAGACTACCCCACAAAGACGGGCCGAAATACAAAGTGGGGAATCCCCTGGCGAAGGATTTCTTGGACATGTTCAGCCAGAACGTGCTCTCCGCTCAGGGGAACGAAGCTGAAAAGGTACCTTACAAATGAGACCGTCAGAGCAAAATAGTTAGTATGGAGGCAGTTAGATTTGAATTTGAATTTGAGTAGACAAAAAAAAACCAATACGCGCAAAAATAATGTTACAAAGCTATCTGTTATCTATGGGTGAAACTATGGATAGGCCGGTTTTGCATCAAAATTTATTATATTTTAGATAAATTCCATTAAACATCATATAAGCTTGAATATAAAAACGATGTGGGTTAGGCCACTTTTGCGCTGATGACCCCAAATCTGCCTCTTGATCGATTATGTTTATTGGTCTCATAAACAGTGAACCATATTACACAGTCGGTTAACGTGTAAAAGCACACACATATGTATACCTATGTACCCACATATACACACATATGTGTATGTGTGTCTATGTTGCCTGCTAATTTTGTTTGTGTTTTTTTGCCTCCCTATTCACCAGACGTGTATTCAGAGTATGTCCATATTGGCGCAATGACATGTTGAATTTTCAAACGAAGTTTATCTATGGTTTTAATGTGCTAATGCCCATTGGTGATGGTAACCATTCACAATGATATGGACCAATTGCTGTCTTTTCTTTAATTGCCCGATCAGGCAGACGAGCATACGGCCCACCTGTCGGTAAGTGGTTACCGTCGCTCATGGAGGTCAGCAATGTCAGGGACAGAGCCAAGCCTACTGTGTTTTCCAAGGAAATAAATTTTAATTGTGAAGTAAACTCGGTCGATACACTTGTATCATGCTATCGAGAGATTAAAGGCTATTTAATTTATGGGACATTTTTGCAGCTTTACAGGAGAGCCATTTCACGTTTAAAATTTAGAAAAAATAACTTAATAAAAAAATACTTCTTCAGCTATTTGAATGGAGTAAACTTAATTAAAGTTTAATTTTAAGCAAGGAACCGCTGATGCTAACACGAAATAAAGCGCACTTTTAATTACAAAGATAAATGTGACTTAAACCAAATACGAAGTCGTCGTGGCCTAAAGGATAAGACGTCCGGTGCTTTCGTGTTGAGCGATGCACCGGTGTTCGAATCCCGCAGGCGGGTACCAATTTTTCTAATGAAATACGTACTTAACAGATGTTCACGATTGACTTCCACGTTGTATCGTGTAATAAAAATCAAACCCGCAAAATTACAATTTGCGTAATTACTGGTGGTAGGACCTCATGTGAGTCCGCACGGGTAGGTACCACCGCCCTGCCTATTTTTGCCGTGAAGCAGTAATGCGTTTCGGTTTGAAGGGTGGGATAGGCGTTGTATACTTGAGACCTTAGACTGCCTTAGAGCTTATATCTCAAGGTGGGTGGCGCATTTACGTTGTAGATGTCTATGGGCTCCGACACCCCTCAATATAATCCGGCAGGTCCTGTCGTTCGGTCGCATGATGTCGTACTGGCGCAACAACAGGGAGCGCATAATGGGCCAGCAGGCCGTGTGGCTTCCGGCCCGGCTGCAGCCCGCGGGCGCCTCGCAATGCGGGGCCATCATACCGCAGGTCGTGGTCGCCGGCACCCTCACTAGGCGGTGAGACTACCTGTCAACCTATAATGCCATCTTCCCTTCATCTATATATCTATATATTAATACGTGAAGCAAAAACTTTGTATCCCTTTTTAGGAAAATTGAAAATTGGAGTATGAAATTTTCCACACTTATAGAGAATATAGAGAAGAAGTGCACAATGCTAATATTTTTTTTAAATAATGCATAAAAGATACATTAAATCAATAAAGAAAACATTACACACACTACGTACCATGTATTTGACGCACACACGCATGCATACTATTTATTGTTAAACTTTTGTTCTTGACGTCTGTTGTCAAATTGAGAATAGATTAAATATTGTTTGTCTTTGTTAATATTTTTTATAATGTAGTCTTGGCGAAATTTGTGATTATAGAAGTATAAAATACAATCATAATTGTGTACAAACTTGCAATTCCAATTAATTATAGTCGAATTTCGACTACTGCGAGACCTCTAGTATATATAAATAATTCATTTGATGAAATATAAGTAAGACACTAATTCTAATGGCGTCTCTGGTTTAATGGATTGTGATCATAATCTATCTATATATATATAAATGAATTGCTGTTCGTTAGTCTCGCTAAAACTCGAGAACGGCTGGACCGATTTGGCTAATTTTGGTCTTAAATTATTTGTGAAAGTCCAGAGAAGGTTTAAAAAGTCGATAAATATGAAAATGCTCGGAATTAAATATAAATAACAATTTGGTTTTTCCTTTGAGTGTCCCCCGTCGGACGGATTCCTTTGGTTTGTTTTAAGTTTATTGTAGTGTACTGTAGTAGACTAGTAGTGAGTAGTAGTGTACTGCCGTCAGAGTAAGCGAGCGTTTCGTGACATCACACGGTTTATACTGGTGGTAGGACCTTTTGTGAGTCTGCACGGGTAGGTTGGTACTGCCCTGCTTATTTCTACTGAGAAGCAGTAATGCGTTTCGGTTTGAAGGGCGGGGTAGCCGTTGTAACTATACTTGAAACCTTAGAAATCTAGAATTTCAAGGTGGGTGGCGCATTTACGTTGTGGATGTCTATGGGCTCCAGTAAACACTTAACACCAGGTGGGCTGTGAGCTCGTTCATCCGTCTAAGCAATTAAAAAAAATAGTATACTGCCGTCAGAGCGAGCGAGCCGACCTGGATGACGGCGAGCAACGCGCACCGCGAGCGCGTGGGCTCGGAGCTGCGGGCGGCCGTGCAGGCGCCGCCCTCCGCGCGCCTCGTGGGGGCCGATGTGGACTCGCAGGTGGGTGCCGTGTCTACACCCTTACACCAATATGGATGCTCTCACCATCCTGAGTATTCTGACAGACGAGGTCACATTCTGATTCGATTACATCCGCCCCACCCTTCAAACCGGAACGCACCACTGCTTTTAAAGTATGCGACAATCGGTAACAATACAATTGACTTGGAACTCACGTCTTGAAGTCAGCGGTGGTGTTTGTACCTACAGTACAGTACAAACAGTATTTATATCTATTGATTACTTAAAATCAAAAGGGAAGCTCCCATCCCTATAGGCTATTCATCTGTTGCAAAGTTATGATTTCTTCGCTAAAGTGCTTCCCAAACGCTATGGCAATAGAACCTAGGCCAAACGAATTTTAGAAAACAATAAAGCTGGAAACGATACTGGGCTACGTACTTCACTGTGCCTTTTTTTCCTACCTATGCTTGAGAGCCTTGAGAGGCTATTTCAGCTTCGCCCTAACATGTAGGTGAAATCACGGGGCTCAAAACTGACGTCGTTGCTAACACGAACCCTAGCAAGAGCCGCGCTTCGCAAAATCTACCACCGGATCGGAAACGCGACCCACTAAGAAGATACTAGAAACTCAATGGGCTGTGTCTGTGGGTTAATTTACTCGCCAAGCCCTTCGTCGCAAGCGACGGGTTCAACGAGAACGGTGACCACTTAAGATGACCACGGCTTGGGTTACCAGGAGCTGTGGATCGCGTCGTTGCTGGGAGACAGCTCGCTGGGTGTGTGCGGGGGCACGGCGCTGGGCTGGGCCGTGCTGGCGGGGGACCGCGCGCGCCACACCGACCTGCACTCGCTCACGGCCGCCGCGAGTGGCATCTCCCGGGACCACGCTAAGGTCATCAACTACGCACGGATCTACGGTCAGAACTTAACCAACGCGCTATTAACTGGGAGCTTTGTGTGGGAGGATTATGTGTTTTTCTCCTACCCATTCTAGTGATCTCGAGGGGTCATACTATTTATTTTTTATTGCTTAGATGTATGGACGAGCTCACAGCCCATCTGGTGTTAAGTGGTTACTGGAGCCCATAGACATCTACAACGTAAGTGCGCCACACACCTTGAGATATAAGTTCTAAGGTCTCAGTATAGTTACAACGGCTGCCCTGCCCTTCAAACCGAAACGCATTACTGCTTCACGGCAGAAATAGGCGGGGCGGTGGTACCTCGCGGACTCACAAGAGGTCTTACCATCAGTAAAATGTAGATTCACCGAACGAATAAGTGAGCTCACGGGGCTCTAATCTAGAAATGTTGCTAATACTAGTACTAGCAAGAGCAGTGTTTCGCAGAATCTACTAGCGGATCGGAAACGCGACAAACTGAGAAGATCTGGCCAGAAACTCAGTGGGCCAGAAAACCCGGAAAGACCGTCCACCATACGAAGACGCAATATCGAAGTCTCAATTGTATTAGTAAGGTTTGATTGCCCTCGTAAATACAGCAGTGGTCCAACCAGTCTAGGTTGACACACCTTACCACCGATGCTAGGGGTAAAACACATTTACATTTTACATACACGTTTAATTAGCTGTACCAACAAAATGATCGCCGAATTGGAACATCGGCGAATTGACAAAAAGGTGCGTGATAAGTGTCATCTAAATTATAGACAAACGACCGTGATAACACCTTGAAATGAAGCTAAAGCTGCGTTTCCACTGGAGATGCATGAGGACGCAGAGCGAGCGTAGGGAAATAAAGTGATCCTATTGGTAGATGTATGTTGATTCGCTCATATTCCTCGCTCATCTCTGGTACAAACGCAGCTTAATCTGAGACTTTTTGGCGGGAACGCGAGGAGTGAAGTTGTGTGATTTCTTTTATTTTGTGTTTCTTCAGGTTTAAATGTGTAATAACGGTGGTTTATTAACTGTTTAATATATGTAAAAGTGCACAAGTGTCGGAAAATGAAACAAAGCCGCTGGACATAACTTCTCCGGATACTCCAAAAAGTCCACTGAAAAAATCTCAGTAAATGACCACCATTTTACTGAGATTATATTTCATCCGAAATCATCTCATTTCATTTTATTTCATCCCAGTTGATTAATGTCTCAAATTCATCATCTTCATTTTCATTCAATTCCATTTTCCAATTTCATTTCATTGCATTTCACTCCGTGTTATAATTTTTCATGAAAATAAGAATATAAATTAAAATGAGACATGACTTAAAAGATTTAGTTACCAGGTCATAAAATCGCTTAAAAAAAATTAATCTAAGGAAGAATTGTAACAGTCACCTACCCACATCTTGCGTTTGATGTCACGCTACTGTCATATAAGATCTTTTCACCTAATTTACTATATCTTATATTGCATTTTTAATCGTATAGGCTATGACCGTTCGGATTAAGATAATAAAGTTTCAACGAATATTTTTGAAAAGTTTAGGAGCCGGTCAAAACTTCGCGGAGAGATTGCTGAAACAGTTCAATCCGACTATGACGATATCCGAAGCCAAGAGCAAGGCGGCTAAGATGTTCGCGACCACCAAGGGCAAGCGGATCTACACGCTGAAGAAGCAATACATGGAGGGGTTCATGGACGAAGACTTGGAGGGCCAGGTATTTGATACTGGTCTCGTTTGTTATTCATGTTTTTAAGGATCAAGATTTTTTTTTTGTTGCTTAGATGGGTGGACGAGCTCACAGCCCACCTGGTGTTAAGTGGTTACTGGAGCCCATAGACATTTACAATGTAAATGCGCCACCCATCTTGAGACATAAGTTCTAAGATCTCAGTATAGTTACAACGGCTGCTCCACCCTTCAAGCCGAAACACATTACCGCTTCACAGCAGAAATAGGCAGGGTGGTGGTACCTACCTGTGCGGACTCACAAGAGGTCCTACCACCAGTATAAACCAGCTCCCGTTTAGAACTACCCAGGAGTCACTTGTAGGGAATCACGGGTTAAACCTACGGAAGCGGGAAGCAATTTACCCCCAATCGTAATGGAAATACGTCGGCAGGCGCTCGAGATGAACAGTTACCAGGCGACGAGGCTCGCCAAGCTGACAGGGAGGCCAGTGGAGGATATGTTCGACAGGCCCAAGTGGGTGGGCGGCACCGAGTCCGAAATGTTCAACAAACTGGAGGAGATCGCTGGTGAGTAACGTTCTATTATACCCCTTTATGGTAAGGGATAATGCTTCTCTGCAGGACTGCCGAGAGAACTCAGCAATCTTACAGATTGATATAAATTGTACCCTAAATAAGAAGGACCCTAAACCGTACCCTAAATCACCTCGTGTATAGGCAAATCGTAGCCCGATTTTTATTGTTTACTCTAACGAGACCTACATACAACCCTAAAGTCAGTTGCGATATCGGCACAGCGGTTGTGGGGATAATCGTTTCTAAATCGTGAGCGAAGCGATTTTAGAGTAACAATAAAAATCGTAAAAAAAAGTAACAATAAAACAATAAAAATCAGGTTACGATTTGCCTATACACGAGATGAATTAAGGTGCGGTTTAGGGTCCACCCACCACTGTCCCGATATCGCAACTGACCTTAGGGTCGTGTATGGGCTGCATTAGGGATTTAAATTAGCAAGTTATGTGCGCGTGTGTTCCCCGGCGGCGCAGACTCGGCGGCGCCCCGCACGGCGTTCCTGTCGGCGCGGCTGTCCCGCGCGCTGGAGCGGGCCGCGCCGCGCTGGGCCGCCACGCGCCTCAACTGGGCCGTGCAGAGCGCCGCCGCCGACTTCCTGCACCTCATGCTGGTCAGCATGGCGCATCTAGCTCCGGAAGCCAGGTAGCGCTCGCTCACTAATTTTTTTTTCTTTTTTTTATTCCTTAATTAATTAAATGAAATTTAAATTTATCATGCACAAATTTTTTAAATCAAATTAAATTTTTTAAATTTTTATTGCAAAATGTACTACTATTTCAACAAAACAAAAAAAAACTGTTCACGCGCGCACACTTTTCACCATCAATAAACCTTTTTTAATTGCCCTCATAGACAGACGAGCATACGGCCCACCTGATAATGAGTGGTTACCGTTGTCCATGGACTTCAGCAATGCCAGGAGCAGAGCCAGGCCGCTGTGGCAATGGTTTCAGAATGTTGTTCCCTGACCCCATTATCCTATAAAACTACGATTACTAATTCAGAAATACACACGACAACTTGTTATTCAAAAATACTCATCTTTTAAGTTCACTGATATTTCAAGTCCAGAAATATTCAGATATCTGGCGGCCGAATATTCGGCGCTTCGGCCGAAAGCTTTGCCGAATTTTCGGTATTCGGCCAAATCACTATTCGTGGCAACTCTATTTATTAGTATCTGGTGCTCATTACACGGAATTCTATCGTGCGTGATTTGTTCCCAGTTATTAATTTACCAATATTTCGCGGCACGGCAATGGCGCAGCTTGACATATTGCCACATTCAATTAAAAGATTGAAGGAAGATTTTTTTTCCTACCTATTCTAGTAATCTCGAGGGTTTATTCTAGATTTACCGAGCTAGTAGACGAGCTCATGGGGCTCAAACCGGGGGTGTTGTTAACACTGGTCCTAGCAAGTGAAGGAAGATGATAAATACATTCACACACACACACACACACACGCACATACGCATAATGACCTTTTTAATGATAACACCTAATGAGCTCTCGACACTAGTCCGCAGATTCTTCTCACGTCTTAACCTAACCTAATCTATCTTAAGAAGGAGGGAGCCTGGAGATCAGTAATACAGGTCTTTAAACCTAGCACAGACTTCAGCTCTTTCAAATGCTTACAAAATGAATTATAAGGTCCATTGTATTTGTACTATATCTTTAAGAGAGAAATAAATAAATAATTGTTATGTACAAAGTTTTTATTCTCGAATTTCGGTAAATATTGAAAAACCACGGCACTACGCCAAGTGGAGCTCATTTTCGTTTGATGTTTCGTCTTGCAAAAACTTCCGAACAATCCGGCACGTGTTTAAAATTGTGGCTTTTTGCATGGTAATAAATATATTTTTGGGCAAATCTAATAGTTTGATGGAGTGGTGAAGGTACTTTGGTATGACTCCTATTATTATTAATACAAGATTGACAATAAACGCAGGGTACATGACACAACGCATATATGTACTTGTTGTATCAAATACATGGTAGTGTGTGTAATGTTTTCTTTAATGATTCAATGAATTTTTTATGCATAATTAAAAAAAATATTAACATTCTGCACTTGTTCTCTATATTATTTATAAGTGTGATAAATTTCATATTCCTCCGTCTGCGCAATTTTCGTAAAAAGGGGTACAAAGTTTTTGCTTCACGTATTAATATATAGATTATTGTTATTAACTAAGTTTAATGTTTCAAGGTTCTGTCTGAGTTTCCACGATGAGGTTCGTTACTTGGTTCCCGAGGAGCGGAAGTACGAGGCGGCCCTGGCACTACAGATCACTAACTTACTCACGAGAGCATTCTGTTCGCAAAGGTAAACAAACTTAACGACCGTCTGCTGTAGTCTTAAGTGACATGGTCACTACACAAGGGCGTCGCGGGTTCGAATCCCGCCAAGGGAAGATTTTTTTTATTGTTTATTTGGATGGACGAGCTCACAGCCCACCTGGTGTTAAGTGGTTACTGGAGCCCATGGACATCTACAGCGTAAATGCGCCACCCACCTTGAGATATAAGTTCTAAGGTCTCAAGTATAGTTACACCGGCTGCCCCGCCCTTCAAACCGAAACGCATTACTACTTCACGGCAGAAATAGGCAGGGTGGTGGTATCTACCCGTGCAGACTCACAAGAGGGCCTACCACCAGTGAAAAATCGGTGGTCCTCCGGTAGTCAAAATTCGACTATAATTTATTTAAATTATAAGTTTGTACGCTGTTAAGATTCTATTATCAACGACTATTTATTATACTTCTATAAGTAATCCCAGATTTCGCCAATACTACACTATAGATAAATAATATTAAGGACAAACAATATTTAATCTATTCTCAATTTGACCACAGACTTTAAGCAATAAGAAAAGTTTGTTAATACACAAATAGTATGCATGCGTGTGTGTGTCAAATACATAGTAGTGTGTGTAATGTTCTTTTTTAATTATTTAATGTATATTTTATTCATAATTTAAATAAATATTAACATTGTGCACTCCTTCTCTATATTTTCTATAAGTGTGGGAAATTTCATACCCCTCCAACCGCGCAATTTTCGTAAAAAGATGTACAAAGTTTTTGCTTCACGTATTAATATATAGATAATCACAGGCTACATATTTTTCAGGGTCGGCATAAACGATTTGCCACTCTCGGTGGCGTTCTTCACGTCAGTCGAAGTCGACCAAGTGCTGAGGAAGGAATCCAACAACAGCTGCGTGACGCCGTCGAACCCTCACGGCTTGGAGAAAGGATACGGAATTCCGAATGGCGAATCCTTGAACATATTCGATGTGTTGGAAAAATGTAAAATAAAATAAAATCTAAATAAATAAATAAATTTGAATTATGCATTTTTTTTTAAAGATTCTCGCATTGTATTTTTCGTTTCATCTTATTATTATGATTGCAAACGAATCTGATATTCGGCCACTCGTCGGTATCGAACTACCGGATTATAAACGTGAATCCGGCAAGATATCGGATCCAAAAAAAAATACACCATATAAAGCTTAGATACACTATTTAATTAACATAATAATGAGACTCAACAATCATATTATTTTCATTATAAAACAGAGAAAATTAAAACTCGTGCTGTACTTAGAGCGAAATAATGATAAATAAACACTAAGTTCTCTTCGTTAAGAGGCAAAAAACGGTTTCACTTTTCTTCTTAGACAAAGGCAGCGTCCGCAAAAACTCTTTCGCTGTATACAGAACTAAAACTGCTGTAGGTACCTGAAAGATAAACTCTAGCAAACTTTGTTAAGTTTGTGTATTGTAAAGCATTAACATAAATGTCACGATCGTGACAATAGCGCATAGAATTCAGTGTGCTTAGTGCGAGTTCGTTCACGATAGCGTAAAAGTTAACTCGTTCTCGATAGCGTAAAAGTTAACTAGTTTGAGATGTTCCCACTAACTTATTTCTACCATCGCACCACCCGCCACCGGAGTAGAGCTCACCCATACTACCTGGACCCACTGCGTTCGTCCAGTTTGTTTCCAGAGATCTTTTTTGTCACGTACCATGCGGTTTTGCAATGAACTCCCCTCTACAGTGTTTCCCGAGCGTTATGAAATATTTTTCTTCAAACAAGGCTTGTGGAGAGTAGGTACTCAATGGTAGGCAGCGGCTTGGCTCTGCCCCTGGCATTGCTGAAGTTCATGAATAACAGTAGCCACTCACCAACAGATGGGCCGTACGATCGTCCTGCCAACGTGCCTGCAAGGGCAATAAAAAAAATTTGTATAGAGTTGGTACTTTTGTAACTAGGGGCGCTGTTCCAACTGCATATAGATTTGAGTTAACTTTTGCGCTATCGAGAACGTTAAAAATCTCGCATTAAGCACCCAGTTCAAGCATCGCGTTCTCACGTGCAATCGCGTGTTATATTTTGATAGTGATATTGATTGCTGTCGTTTTCAGCCGCTACCTCATTAAAGCAGCCGAAAAAGGTGTCTTAAGCTTCGCAAGATACAGCAGGCTCTTCTACTTTTTTTAACTGACCATAAATATAAACTACTGCAGAGAGACGGAGAGTCGAGGTTTTTTAATAAATTTCCATTTCATTTTATTTTACGATTCCAAGTAAACAACAGCAAATGAAGTTTAGGTTCAAATTATTAGAATCCAGTTCGTTAATAAATAAGAAGCACGATGTCTTTCATATGGATGTGTTTTATTGTTATGTTGAGATGTTCCGAATGTCAAATGAACTTTTAAGTTTGGGCTAAGTTTCTTTTGCCTGTTAAATGAAGGATTATAAAAAAACAATGCAGAACGTCATCTCCAGTGCCAAGTACTTTTGACAGCAAATTTGTAGCAAATGTTGAATTTTGTTTTTGCTCTACATTTATTGTATTTAACTCTAAATTTTTAAACATCGAACTTTATTTATAACAATAAACACAAGTTTACACCTATACCGCTATATGAAGTTTCGTGAAAATGTCAAAAGTGTCTAAAAGAAAGCATGTTATGAATGAAGCTCTTTGGGACGATTACGAATTGCCAAAAGACAATCAGAACATCGTTAAAGTTGTTAAAAGTAAAGGAAATAATTTACACGAGGTACCATCATTATTAAAAATTGGGGCACATTAAAAAAATAAAATAATTGCAAACGTAAACATAACCTTAATTCCTCGACTAAGTTGTTCGCTTCATTTTAATATTAGAATACAACAAAATCAATAGTCGATAATAAAACTTATTTTTAGATTACTACACCAATAGGCGAAGAATATCTAGTTTCAATGCCAACTAAATTCCGTAAAAACATATGGGTTAAACGCGGAGATTACATATTAGTTGAACCAATCCCTGAAGGAGACAAAGTTAAGGCTGAAATTGTTAAAATAATGAATAAAGACTCAATAAAATTCTATAAAGAAAACAATGTATGGCCTAAACAGTTTGAGGACAATAAATCTGAAAATAAACCAAACGAAGACTTATTTGAAAATACAAATAGGAAAAACATTATAACATATGTGAGTGATAGTGACTCTACTAGCAGTGATCAACGTGACAGTGAACAAGAAAATTAAAATAATACATAGAATATAATTTAATATGTAAATAGAATAATTAATTTCATTATCAAATAAAAAAAGATTTCCTATAATGTTGTTTTTGCTGAAACATAGACAAATCATAGTAATCTTTATATTCTTAACACTATTTTAACAGCTACCAGATATCAAAAAAGTTCCTTTAGCTTGTGCAAAAATATGATTAATTACATGTCTGTGCAGATATAAAAGTCCTAAAAATAATTGTTGCAGAGCTAAAGGTTTACAAGCTTCTCTGTGATTCAGATCGTAACATCCTATTAGATACCTTACTAGTTCAAACATTGCACAATAAATTCATACAAAAGAAATAACATCTAATAATACATTTTACATATTTTAACTCACACTTAATATCTGATATTACAGCAGGAACTAAATAGGAGCTGGTACAGGACCCAAATTGCTAAGAGTGATTAAAGAGGGTTTACAACAACTTCAATATAAAAAATCCATTAAAACTATTGTTAAAGTTAACTATCATATTTATTAAGTTAATTTAATTAATCTCTAAAATAATAACAAGTTTGAACCTCACGAGTAGTCTTAATTATTTGTATGAATTTGTAAAAGAGAAAAATTAATTTAAACAATCAAAATTAAGTATTAACAAACAAAACAATCTTCAAGAAAATTCTATCTTTAAAAAAATATTTAAAATGTACTTCGTAACCCCCTTATATGGAGTGGTTAATCTGCTCACAAATTTTAAATAAACATACGCAATACATTTTTAAATCTAAATTAAGTCTCAAAGTTCAAAGTACCTTGATGATTCGATAAATAACAAAAAAAATGTGTTTTTTATATAAATGCGTAAAATTATTTTTAGCTAATCAAACAGCATACAAAGTGAATTACCTATCCAATACTGCTACTAGCTTAGTCCTTATTTTCAGGCTTTCAATATTTGATTATAACATTTGAAACTAATTTTATATTGTAATGAGACACAGCATACTTTAAAGATTATCATTATGAGTTCATGAGATCAATTTGATGAATATTGTTGTTGCAACATCATTTTATATCAGCATCGAAATCATCTGCCATGATGTATTCATAGATTCTTTTGATTAAATCAACAGATTTTACTTGGGCCCATCCTTCAGTTTTTGTTATAAGCTTTGCTTGTCCATCTTTTATAAATTCAAGAGTGAGTTGTTTCAATGTATTTGCTGAATGTAAATCAGCTAATTGTAATGTTTCTATAGCATTCTCTACTGTCAATTTTTTATGCAATGCTTCCTCGCATAAGCTCTTTAGTCTGTTAAGTTGGTAGTAATCGGCAGCTGCTAGAAGCTTTTCTGGAATGTCATCAACTCTAGGAGCTTTGTCACTATAAATAAATGTTAGTACTTCTTGTAATACTGTTGATTCTAAAAGCGATTCAATAACATTAGTGTAGCATTCTGTGGTGTTGTGTTCAAAATGAGCTTTTAGAACAGCACTACGGCTGGCCAACACAGCCTTGTGGACTTTGAACTCAATACCCTCTGCAGACTTGATTATTACATCAGAGAACAACCCGTCATTGAGTAAATTCTCTAAGTCATTGCTGAGTTGTGCTTCAGGTACTGTTGAACGGTCTATTTTTATATCATTGGTGACCATAAATTGTACTTTAAGTCGTAAACTTCCATCACTAAGGAGGAATATATCACGGCCATCATAGCTTGCTATATCTCGTTTGAATAATGTAGCCAAGTACTGCCATTTGTTTGCCTGAACCGTGTGATACTCCTTTATTACTATTGTTCTTTCTTCAAATCTTTTTAAACAAATTGTTAGAATGGACTTCAAAAAAACCGGATTTGGTGATAGATAAGAAATCTCTATTATGTCATTATAACGGCCCAAAAATTGCATTTTCAATTGGAACTTAGAGTGAGTAAATTCCGTTTTTGGGTCTTTAGCTTTTTCAACTCGAAATTCCCTCTTGGTCACATTTTCCAACAGATTGACGAACGTAGGTATGGTCCATATTATAGTACATATTTTTGTCTGTCCCTCCGTGCGCGTTGTATAATTTGTGCTCGACATGTTTATAAGATTAATGCGATATTTATTGACCCCTAAAAAATTTTAATTACATAGTTTCTAAATAATTACTTCACAATTACAACAATTTGCAGATTTTTGCAGATTTGCGTTCTATATATGGAGGTGTTCATAGAAATCTTTTTTTTTTTTTTTTATAAACATAAATATTTTACTAACAATCACGCCACGTTAACTGGTCCCGTGATAAGTTCGTAAAGAACTTGTGTTACAGGTACCAGATATCGGAAATAAATGTAATATTTTTATTATACACATACATATATTTAATATACATCCATAACCCTGGAAGACATTTATATTTATCATACAAATATCTTCGCTTGGCGGGATTCGAACCCGCGACCCCTAGTGTAGTGATCATGTCACTTACCACTACACCAGACGGACGTCTGATTACCTTGAAGGTAAATTATTACATAGGTACATTAATATAAATTATTACAATTACATACCTAGTGTATTTGTACCTTCGTGTTTATTAGAAATCTCTTTGTATTTTACTAAAATGTTAACGTTTGACTGCGGTTCAGATTAATTTCTCTGCGTCGAAAAGTTAAAACAGTTTTGCTCAAGTGTATGTATCTAATAAACATAGATTTTATACACTTAATATGTTTGAGACTAATAAATGATTCTACCCCAATAATACAAACTATACCCAACTTGGAATAGATTTGTGCAAGAAATGCAAGAATTGCCAAAAATAGGTAAATGATTAAAAATGTCAAGTTATGTTTATGTGTATAATCTATGTATCAAGTTTGCTTTGTAGATATTTGTCTCAGTGATAAGTAGTCTATGGTTTGATACAACAGACAAGGCTGTATGGGCTTAAATCTCCTTGCCTTTTCTGTTAAGGAAAAATTGTACTAAAAAAGTCTATGGTTTGAAGATTTTGGCGGGAATACAATGACCGAAATTGTAGATATAGTTTTTTTTTTCTCTTTGTTGGATGGTTACATTTGAGGGATTGGGTTCTGTAGGTTGATGAGGGGCTATTTAAAAACACAACTGCTTCATTATAATTATATTGCAGATTGCTTAAACACTTTTAAACCATTATACAATTATTATCTTTATATTTTTTAATAAAACTATTACATGTTTGTCTTGCCGAGTCTAGATGAGAAGTTATGACATTTTCTTACGAGAATACAATGATCTGTTTTTTAAACATTTAAATTAATTCCAATATTCGAAATCTAATCAAGTGTCAAGTGTTGCCTGCCATTACATTTAATATACAAACTCCAACACTCTTTTGTTATAATGTCGCGCAGCGATTTGTTTTTCAGTTAACAATGAGCTATTCCTTTGGCTGATTTTAATCTTAACAGAACAGAATCTTAACAGAATCAGATGTCCAGTGACACCTTCATCTTTTATTATAAGATTTAATTTTCATTCTGTAAGGTAGGTATACCGTGCCTCCTTAATCTAGTAAACTGCACGGCTCCTGTACCTCCTAGATCCGACGCTAATTTACTGACGTGTGTCGATAACCTGGCTTGGAATTTTTTGCTACAAGCTACTATTTTTTTTTTTTTATTGCTTAGATGGGTGGACGAGCTTACAGCCCACCTGGTGTTAAGTGGTTACTGGAGCCCATAGACATCCACAACGTAAATGCGCCACCCACCTTGAGATATAAGTTCTAAGGTCTCAGTACAACGGCTAGGCTGCCCCACGTGAACATTTGTTAAGTACGTATTTCATTCGAAAAATTGGTACCCACCTGCGGGATTCGAACCCCGTTGCATCGCTAGATACGAATTTACCGGACGGACGTCCTTTAGGCCACAAAAATCTTATTAATATTATTATTATTCATCAACTGTACATAATTAAACGGTGAATTATAGAAATCTTATTACTTGACACAGGCTAATGCACAAACCGTGCCGGAGCCAAAAATAAAGAAAAGAAAGAAAAAGTCTAGTTCCATTCTGTTGTTTTGGATAAAATTATCAGATTTTTCTTTTCCAGGCATATCATTTTAAGTTGCCTATCTAATCTGTAATGAGCGTATGATCGTAATGTAATCGTTTAAGATACAATATCTTTTCAAATCTTGTCGTAACGTAAAAAGTACGATTCAACTGAGCGTAACTGACTAAAATTAAAAAATTGTGTCTTTCGATGATATTCGGTGATCGAGATGGAAGATTACAAGTTTCTATTTAAAGTTGTGCTCGTCGGGAACGCAGGTGTTGGGAAGACTTGTTTGGTGCGTCGGTTCACACAGGGTTTATTTCCGCCGGGTCAAGGTGCTACCATAGGAGTGGATTTCATGATTAAAACTGTGGAAGTTGATGGTGAGAAAGTGAAGGTGAGCCGTACGTATATTTTTGTAAAATATTGCATCATACATGTTAATTAGCCGATTTGTCTATTGTCGACCTACATGTTATATTAATGCAACACGTAGATGGGTGTTTAAATTGGCATTGACCCTATATGGTCAATGCTAATGGTAATAATTGACACCTGTTCGTAGCGAACATTAAGTTAGTTAAGTCAAATTGTACATTCGTTATAATAAATCACATCTCAATGGATTTAACTCTTAATTTTAGAAAATCCATTGAAACTCTTCTTTCATGACCAGGTTTGAAGTTTGTGGGAATCCAAAAAAAATAATGAAATGAGGCGCATTAATAATGTGCATTATTAGAATTTATAATAAATATGGTCTCTAGCCATCTATTGAAACACTGGTAATAAGCCACTGTTTGTGCTCACAAACATTGCAGTGTGAATGATACCCTCTTTAAGAATATACTCTACTCTTTGTTGAGGTCTTAATTATATTGCATAATGACAACTTGTATAGGCAGACAATCTAGCATAGAGAATGTTGGTGTTATTATAGATGGTTATTTTATGTTATTCTATGTTAATCTTGTTCTTTGATGAATTTCTTAGTCCTCTCAAATAAGCAATGTTGGTGTTATTCTAGAATGTTGGAAAGCAGACAACATTATTTGTTAAATATTATAAAAACTTATCTGTTTTTTTATTTTATTTCTAATATTACCAAATGGGTTCTGAGGAGACTACTACGACTACTACAATTGTCTGTGGAACTACAGGAGCTATTGATTTCACCAAAAAAAATGTGTGTGTGATATGAAGTACATACTGTTATAATACTTATCTTAGTTATGTTGCAAATGTGAATACACTAGCAAATTTAATCATTAAAAAATTTCAGCTTCAAATATGGGATACTGCAGGTCAAGAGAGATTCCGATCAATAACACAAAGCTACTATCGTTCAGCTCACGCATTGATACTTGTTTATGACATATCTTGTCAACCCACATTTGATTGTTTACCTGACTGGCTAAGGGAAATTGAAGAGTATGCGAATAACAAAGTGCTAAGGATATTAGTTGGTGAGTTCAATTTAGATTCATACTAATATGTCATTTAAATGAAATTAAACATTATTATACTGATATTTAAACTTATCACTATCTTAATAATAAAATACTTTTGAAAATTTATTGAAAACAGTTAAACAATCAATGATTTAGTTTTACCACCATGGAAGTTAATGGCGCCTAACACCATTGTTATTGCTGGTAAAATTAATGAAGTACTGTTCACTATTAAAGGATGCACTAATGCATGAGGAGTGGCGACAATGGAGATGCACTAAGATTGAACAAATTGATGTGGTAGTTACACCTGAATAGAAGAAATCTGTCAAAAACCTGAATGATACTAATAATAATTCCGAGAAATCTTGAAAATTATCCATAGCTTTAGAGGTCCTTTTTTAATTTTCAAACTAAATCATGCAAAACTATTGTGTACCTTATATGATACTAACAAATTAGAAGATCTTCACTTTTCTATAGGAAATTCAAATACATTTTCTATTGAAGGTAAAACTTTGCTGTGCATCTATTTGTAAATGATAAAATAGACATATTATAATAAACAAATGATTCTAGACTAGCACAGAATGGAATTTTCCAAAACCCAAAAAAGAGAATATACCTATTTATTTATCATAAAATTTTTGATTCAATTGATTAACTAACTGATTAATAAGAATCTTAATGTTGTTTCGTCGTCGAACCCGTCGCCCGCGACGAAGGGCTCGACGAGCGAATTAACCTACAGACACACCCCACTGAGTTTCTCGCCGGATCTTCTCAGTGGGTCGCGTTTCCGATCTGATGGTAGATTCTGCGAAGCACTACTCTTGCTAACCCTCAGACACAGCCCACTGAGTTTCTCGGCGGATCTTCTCAGTGGGTTGCGTTTCAGATCCGGTGGTAGATTCTGCGAAGCACGGCTTTTGCTAGGGTTCGTGTTGGCAACGTCGTCAGGTTTGAGCCCCGTGAGCTCACCTACTAGTTAAGGTTACGCTGATATAGCCTCTTAAGGCTAACAGTTTAGGAAAAAAAAAAGAAGCTCTTGCTAGGGCCAGTGTCAGCATCACTCCATTTTGAGTCCAGTGAGCTCACCTACATGTTAGGGCGAAGCTGAAATAGTCTCTCAAGGCTATCAGCATAAGTAGGAAAAAAAAAAGTTGAATAGCCAGTTATTCCTTAAGAAGTATTGTGAACAAAAGAATATGTAAACTAAAATAACAAATGTAATTTTATTGTTTTAGTTTTATATTCACATAGAAGTACAATGTAGTGAAACAAAATGTTACCTTTACATAATTTACACTGAGAACTGAGTTAACAAAAACAATGCATCAGTTACATAATATTGAGGTATTTGAGATTGTTACGTTTGAAGAAGTGAATTTTAGTTTATTGTTGCACAATTGTTTCACTTTTCACTGTTTACATATGTTTCTTAAATATTTAGTGTTGTATTTAAGGTGGTTTGAAACTTTATTTTAAAATGAACAGTCAAATTTTATGTTGATTTAGCTTCCCTTTTCTGAACATTATTAAATTTTTTTTCTTTTTTTATTGCTCAAATGGATGAACGAGCTCACAGCCCACCCGGTGTTAAGTGGTTACTGGAGCCCATAGACATCTAAAATGCAAATGCGCCACCCACCTCGAGACATAAGTTCTATGGTCTCAGTATAGTTACAACGGCTACCCCACCCTTCGAACTGAAACGCATTACTGCTTCACGGCGGAAATAGGCGGGGTGGTGGTACCTACCCGTGCGGACTCCCAAGAGGTCCTATCACTACTACTACTGCTACTACTACTACTACCACTACTACCTAGTAATTAATTTTAGATTCTTTACATTACAGGTAATAAAACAGACAGAGAAGACAGAGAGATCCCCAAGCACATTGGCGAGGATTTTGCCCAGCGTCACGGCATGTACTTCTTAGAGACATCAGCCAAGGAAGCAGAGAATGTTGAAAGATTATTTATGGAAATTGCAGTGGAACTTATGGAGGTAATCTTAAATATTTTTTAATTTATTTATTTATTTATGTACACACAAAAAAGAAGACATAGTACAGAGTAATATCAGTACCAATTTTTCTAATGAAATACGTACTCAACAAATGTTCACGATTGACTTCCATGGTGAAGGAATAACATCGTGTAATAAAAATCAAACTCGCAAAATTATAATTTGCGTAATTATTGCTGGCAGGACCTCGTGTGAGTCCGCACGGGTAGGTACCACCACCTCGCCTATTTTTGCCGTGAAGCACTAAAGCATTTCAATTTGAAGGGTGGGGTAGCCATTGTAACTATACTGAGACCTTAGAACTTGTATCTCAAGGTGGGCATCTACGTTGTAGATGTCTATGAGCTCCATTAACCACTTAACACCAGGTGGGCTGTAAGCACGTCCACCCGTCTAAGCAATAAAAAAATAGCAACAAGGTCGTGAATATATTATGTACTTAGAAATGAAAAATTAAATCTAAGGAATGCAGAAAGCACTTAACATTTCTGACGACTAAACACTATGGTATATCGTCTTTTCGCATTAAAAGTGTACTATTTCCAAAAACATTCAAAATTGAGTTAATATGCGGAATCATTTGGTATAACCAGTACTTTTCTCATAAATACTGTCAAAACAGCGTAGTTTACTTTTAGTTTTTTTTTTTAGTTTACTTATATTTTAACTACTATTAACAAAATTAATTTAGTTTTTTTTTAGTTTACTTATATTTTAACTACTATTAACAAAATTAATACATAATTTTAAGTTACTTTAAAAGACATATAATGTAACTGGTAAAAACTAAAAAATAAATGTTGCAAAGATGATTAATATTAAAAATATCATATGTTAAATCTTTAAAACACCTTTCACTGGTGGTAGGACCGCTTATGAGTCCGCACGGGTAGGTACCACCACCCTGCCTATTTCTGCCGTGAAGCAGTAATGTGCTTCGGTTTGAAGGGTGGGGCAGCCGTTGTAACTATACTTCAGACCTTAGAACTTATATCTCAAGGTGGGTGGCGCTTTTACGTTCTAGATGTCTATGGGCTCCAGTAACCACTTAACACCAGTTGGGCTGTGAGGTCGTCCACACATCTAAGCAATAAAAAATAAAAATAAAAAACTCCTGTAAAATTTAGTAAGTTTTGAGATTCTACATTTTTAATGCGAGAAGACGATATGTTCAGTCTGGAATCTATAACTGTTCAGATTCGTGACACGCATAATACAGAAGCATAATAAATTAATAAAAATTCCGTCGCAGCTTCGCGTGTTTCCGATTCTAGAAATCGTTATCGCCTACACGATTTTTCAGTCGAACGAATGTCTTGAATAAGTCATGATAAATGCTTCTTTAGCACGTTAACGTTTCGCGTGTTGTAAAGAGATCGGTTTTATTACGTACATACCTTCATTAACTTTTTAGCCGCTGAAATCTTGTGTTTGTTGGGCACATTGTTAAATCCTAATATGGGTCAGTGTGTATGCGTCATGATAGTAGAAATTTTATGTATATGTATATGTGTGTGTATTTGTATGTATATATATTGTTTTGTATCTTGTAATCTATACTAATATGTAAATCTACAGTGGTTTTTACGGATGTTCCGTTAGAAGTACTGAACCATGCATCCGATTGACTTGAAACTTGATATCCGTATCGAAAATAAATGTACTTAATGGATAGGCTAATATTTATATGAGTGTTGGACTCCCTAATAATAATGACAATAAATAATAATGTTAATTTTAAATGCCCAGCGAAGCGGACGGGTACAGCTAGTTTGTATATATTATTATATGCAATGTATGTATTATATGTAATTATATTATACTAGAGGTCCCGCAGTAGTCGAAATTCGACTATAATTAATTGGAATTGTAAGTTTGTACACTATTATGATTGTATTTTATACTTCTATAATCACAAATTTCGCCAAGACTACACTATAAAAAATATGAACAAAGACAAACAATATTTTATGTAATCTCAATTTGACAACAGACGTCAAGAACAAAAGTTTGACAATAAATGTACCTATGCATACGTGTTGCGTCAAATACATGGTATGTAGTGTGTGTAATGTTTTCTTTATTGATTTAATGTATCTTTTATGCATTATTTTTAAAAAGATATTAGCATTGTGCACTTCTTCTCTATATTCTCTATAAGTGTGGAAAATTTCATACTCCTCCGTCCGCGCAATTTTCGTAAAAAGGGATACAAAGTTTTTGCTTCACGTATTAATATATAGATGTAATGTTTACTGTATGCACTAGGTTTGTGTTCCTAATTCTTCTTTTCTTCTGCGGGCCTACTGGAAGAGATTTCAACATGAAATAAGTAGTGCCCCTGTACTCTGTATCCTTATTGTCGTCTTTCTTCTAACAGCTGTGTGTACAAAATATATTACACTAGCGACCCGCCCTCTCTTCGCTTAGGGAACTGTCATTTATTATTAATAACAGTATCTCTCCACTATTTAATGGATGTTATTATACATATAAACCTTCCTCTTCAATCACTCTATCTATTAAAAAAAACCGCATCAAAATCCGTTGCGTAGTTTTAAAGATTTAACCATACATAAGGATTTTTTTTTATTGTCTAGGTGTGTGGACAAGCTCACAGCCCATCTGGTGTTAAGTAGTTACTGGAACCCACAGACATCTACAATGTAAATGCGCCACGCACCTCGAGATATAAGTTCTAAGATCTCAATATAGTTACAACGGCTACCCCACCCTTCAAACCTAAACGCATTACTGCTTCACGGCAGAAATAGGCAGGGCGGTGGTACCTACCCGTGCGGACTCACAAGTGGTCCTACCACCAGTAATAGGGACAGAGGAAGCGACTTTGTTTTATACTATGTAGTCACAAATATATCAAAAATCAAAGAGGCCACAAACACCAGCGTCCCTGGCGCCGTTAAGCAGGCCGAATGCAGGCAGCATTGGAGGAAGCTGGTGCAAAAACTGGACCAAGGTGGTCACGACCCTCAGTAATGAGGAAACGACAGAGAAGAAGAAAGTCACAAATAAATAAGTAGAAATTTTATTTCGCAGCAAGCAAAATGCAAGGAGCTACCGAAGTATGACGGCAGCCTCGGTCCCATCAATGGTAAGACGACGTCGGTCGGCGACGGTTCCTGTTGTCTGCGTTCTTAATGAACGCCGATATCATTAGACTTAACGATGTGGTGTTTTTGTAAATGGCACCCCCGACATACGCACTTTGAAGAGTATCTAGCGGTAGACTAGACTGTGCTACTTAGCATCAGATGGGTCGTCGGTACGTCTCTCATTCATAGTTTTCACGATACATTTGATGCTAAGTGGGTGACGGAGTCCACAGTTATCACAACTGTCGCTATTCTTTTAAAGTTGATCTATTGAAATTAAATCTCTTTTTAATCTAGAACTGATTATAATTTAGGAGAAAGAAAAAGAAACTTATTTAAGTACGTGTAGGATTAGTGGCAATCACATCACAGAAATGTGCATAATAAAAGTAGAGGGATTGGATTGGATTATTATTATTATTATTATTTTTGTGCCTTACAAACTTAATTCTATTTAATGCACAAAATTGTTACGTTTTAATCTAATTTCAAGATAGAGATGTTGAATGGGCATTTTGTTTGTACATCTTTATTCAGATGTATGTTATATATTACTGGATTCATTGGTCATACATTTTGCATCCCACCCCAAAACTGAATTAAATATATCTTCTTGATACCGTTCTGAAGACAATGGGCAATAGAGCCAAACTGGCCCGATGCACAATATGCACCCGGCTACAGAACATAGTATGCACACATTTAAAGTAAAAAAAAAGAACATAATATTCCTAACCTAAAAGTACATTTCCGCAACATGCTTCGTCAGATTACAGAAATAGAGTTATCAGCAACATGCTTCGTCAAAAAGTATAATAATAATAAATTTCAGCTACAAGCGTTGTCATTTAAAATAAGAATTCCAAACATATACGAATTTATTGTTATAACAGGGTTGTTTTTGTTGCTCATCTATTTATTTTTTGTAGAATTTTTAACACTTAATTATAATTGCCTCTCTTGACCAGTTACAAGCGTACCTACATTTTAATTTAAGTTTAGTTAATTTTTATAAATAAATTAACTTTAATTATATTCTAAGTTGTTGGTTTTGTATATTTTTGTACATTTAAATACATTTATTTACAAAAATGCCACATCAAAGCCTTTCTTAAATTAATTACCTATGTCATTCCATTCGCTTTAAAGCTTTTTTTTAAATATTTTTAAATATTGTCTTTGTCACAATATCAGAATCAGTGTTTCCACTTTAATGATTTTCTTTCCCCACACCTCGATTCAAATTTACCCTTTCAGGAGTTTTGTCCTCCTCAAAAATGTTTCTGCTCTAGTTTTTACTTTTAGCCCTAGGTAGTAACGCTAGTTCACGGTAGAGTCCATAAAAAATAGTTCCGAAATTTACCGCAATACTTTAAGCTAGGTTTATTTCGCTCAATTTCCCCTTTTAATGTCTTCCCCCTTTTTTCTCCCCATATGGACCCTATGGGGAGAAAAGGGGGAATTTCTCCTCATCGTGGAAACACTGATCAGAATTAAAATTATGTAATCAAATAATGTTTTTGGTCAAATACAATATATAGTCTTCATCGTGCATGAGTTTCTAAACGAAATAAAATATACTTTAGTCGATTAATTATCAAGAATATAATCGATTTTGTCAATTTTTAGCGTTAGGGTTAAGGCATATCAATGTTACTCATAGGTTGAATGAGACCAAATAATAGGTATATTCATACCTATAATTGCGCATGTACATACGCCGATTTAGAATCATAGGTAATTTATTACGATTAAAGAGATTAACGCACGGTGAAACAAGTATATTGTGACGTTACATGTTCCTCATTCATTTTTACAGTTTCAACTATTAATTACTATTTCGTAAATGTAGGTATGTACCTGAGAGGATTGCAGTTTTCATAAGATAAATTCCGATTACGGTGCATCCTTAACATGTACGACGTAATTACTTACAACTGAATAGTAACTTGTTTTAATCTGAGGATCTCATACATGTCTATGACTGGTTATCTTGTATTTTGTTTCTCAAACAGTGCGTGTTAGAACACTTTCATTGGAATCAAAAGTGTGGTTGTTAATTTGCTTTCAAATGTTTTATATTATAATGAAATATCGAAAAACTAGTTCCACTGCTTCATAGTGTAGTGCTGGACATTCAAATCGCGTTAATACCGACATAAGATCTTCATTTGGAAGCAAAAAAAATAATCTTATCATTGTTAATTGATTAATGTATTGTTGTATGCTGACTGGAATTGCCCTTGAAACATGAAATGTGCGCATGGCGTTTAAAATGCTTTAACTTTTTGTATTTTGTGGTATTATAGTTGTTTTACTTTTTAGAGTTTTATTATGTGATTTGACTTGAATTAAGATTGCTTTAAGACTCGTGGAAATTTAATAAAAAAAAATGGTAGGTAGTGTGATATTCTGCTTTTAACGCTTTGATTTATTATAAATAAAAGACCATTATCATCTATATTAATAAATATATTCGTGCCGATGTGAAAAGCTCCTACTTAATTTGAATTACTTAAAATTCGTTCCCAGTCTTGATATTGTGACAATGCATTAAATGAAATACCTAGCTGTTTCATATTTTGGTTGTTAATAATAATGTTAATAATTAAGTAAGCCATCTCATCGTATAGTATTTTAGACGACTTGTAGATAAAATTTATTGATATTTGGTTCTTTTTTTTAAATACTAACACAGAAGGTAACTTTTTGATTTAGTTGAGTTTCATATATGAAGTGTTGGTGTTTTTTGTGACACATTTCTTAGAAAAAAAAAAACGTTTGTGAAAAATAAACTAAATTAACAAAAAAAAACTAATGATAATATGTTGTTCGTGATCATTCAGGAAGAATTGAACTGTCTGCAGGGATTAGAAGTGGTTTAATGTCATTATAAAGATGTAATTTATTTTCAGTGTTTTGTATTGTCAGTTGTATACATTTATTCTTTTATATAGCATCACTAGCTAGCAAACAGTTAATGTTAGGCTGTACAGATTAAAGATGGTTTTAGAATGGAAGTTTATGAAACAAGAATGATAGTGAAAATTGAAATATAAATATTTTTTTCATTTCTGTGGCAGTCCTATGACTCTTCTAATAAAGAACATAGCAATTATTATAAGTTGTGTGTTTTTTGGCGTATCCTGAGATTACAACGTAGCTGTACCCAACTGCCCATTCGTGTAGCCTCGGTTTTATTCAAAGGGACATGCATTATTATAATACATTTGAGATTTGGCTTCATGTCTCAAGCTACGTACATGAACCTTGTGATGCTCACTTAATGTCAAGTGGCCGTGAGCTCGTCCATCGGGAGCAGTAGAAAAAGTTGACATATCCTGTTGGTTCTCATTATTTTTACATCGGTACTTAATAGAAGGTTCGCTGTTCTGTAATGTGCTAAGATTCCGATTATATTCTCTCGTACTGAGATTATTTTTTATATAAGATTGTTAATATTTTAGAATTTATTTTGTTGCCACGTGAAATAGGAATACAAAATAATAATTAATGCAATTACACTGTTGAGCTGGTGTTATAAGTTTTATTTGTTATCATCAATTGGAAGTAATTGGTCTAGATTAACGTCTGAAAAATGTTTTTTTTTTACCGTTAAACTTTTATTTACTTCTTGACATTTCGTCAGTCTTACTAAAAAATAGTTGTGCAATGGGGAAATGTTTTATTATTGTAAATTTTATATTTAGTAAAGTTGATATATTTTCGTTGAATTTTGCAATTTTATTTTGTGTGACAATACGAATTTTTAAACTATTTTTTTACTGTACATTAATAATACATATTCATGTTTACATTATTGTGATGCAATAACAAATACTAAAATTTTGTGTTTAAAAGAAAATAATTAATAGTTTATTTTCCGTTTTTACTGATTACATAAAACGAAAATATGTAGTTGAAACTGCGGAATAAATATAGTTTTTAGTGATATAAAATTTTAATTCGATAAACTAATTGGTATTGCAATTGAGATTTATATTGGATCTGAAATGCTTAGACATTTTGTTTTTAATATTAGAAAAATTGATTCTTACCAAAGAATTATAATAATGTAATACTCGCAATAAATGATCACCTTTGACTATTAGTTTTTTTGTTTTATTGATTTAGTTTCTAGCTTTTGAAAGATAAATATTTAATTAATGAGAACCGGAAAATTTTCAAGGTGCACATTACGAGGAAGGACCTGCATGTCATGGCGCACGAATTCCTAGCCGTATCCTTGCGAGAATATCGGTAATGTTGTGGTCGATGTTTCGAGTGTAGTTCAGTAGGTATTGGAGTCAGTAGCAAAAGCCAAAATGGCTTCTAAAATGGAAGGAGCTCTCAATAAAGCAAAGCATTGCTTCATAACGACTTGTGCTCTGCAATCTACAATTACTTTTGTTTAGTACTACTCTCATTTTTCAACCGAGGCGCTTATGTACCAGCCACTTTAATTTTCCTTTGAACAGAATGTACCCACCCGTGTTACCGGTGATCTTCATCTTACGGTTATACTTTGGATGTCTGTGTGTTCTGTATCATCTGAGGAGGGCTTTGAGGAACTTGAGATGGCCCTGTCATTTCTATTTTAATACTGTATTATTCCCCAACGGAGCAGAGCTATGCGTAGAGACCGCTGCGCTTTCTACATCCCTTAGATATGTATTTTTGTATTGTATGTATATGGGTATTTTAATGTAGCATAAATGTTTGGTATGAACTATTTTTACGGTGTTTTCCGAGCGTATTGCATTTCGTACTTCTAACGAGGTCTGAGAAGAGACAGTATGTTATCGGCATCAGCCTTTTGTGATCTATTGCTATACATGAAGTTCTTTTACGGTTTCGTTGATTTGAACACGAAGGGACCCTGAATTGCTGAAAGATCCGGAAGCAGACGAAATTCCACTTCTTTCTCTTTTGCACAGAGATCTGCCATTTACTATTACTTACACAAATTTACTATTAAATTATGGGTTTTAGTTTGGTGGAGCGACCGATGAGAAGTTAACAGGATTTTATTTATGGCACATTGAAGACAAATTAAATTTCTCTTTTCTAATAATTAGTTTTATTTGATGTAATTAAATCAATACATTAAATAACGAAGTATATTACGCACACAGCGGATTCAATTTATTTATTTATTTAACTTAATGCACAGAAGTACAATGGCGGACTCAATGCCTGAGGCATTTTCTACCAGTCAACCAAGGGTGGTGTAGAGAATCCTGTGGTAGGTGCATAACTTAATGTAAAAATAACCAAACTACATTATACAATATACAAACACATACACGGTATATATATAAATATATATAATCACATACACAACGTACAAAATTTTATATCATGATAATAATATAAAATTTACACATATATCTATATATAATCTCTATTATATACTCGTATATTCACATACATATTCATATACACACTTAAACACAATATAAAAATATAACAAAATTATCAAAGAAACAGAACCACATACACATATATAGTACAAGAAAATAGTGTATTGCACAGAGCACACATGCGAGTCAAATTGTTAAGTTTTTAAGTTTCTCCAGAAAAAGTTGGCGAACCTTTATTTTGAAAGTTAGGCGATCAGTGATCATCCTAACATTAAGTCTGCATTCAGGTCAAGATAACATACATCGCCATAGTCAATTATGGGCAGGATTAAAGTTTGAACAATCATCAACTTTATCTTGAAAGGGAGAAAGTTCTTGAAGCGATAAAGGACACGCAGAGATCCAGTAACCTTCCGACTAACGTTCAACACCTGTACCGCCCAGTCAAGTCTAGAATCCATATACAGTCCAAGGTTTTTGACTGATGGGCTCAGAGGTATAATTGCTCCATTATCAGTTACGGGTGGGAGTGAGCTAAAATCTAATCGTCCCAACAGACGAAGACTACCAATAATGATCGCCTGACATTTGGTTGGTTTGACCGTCAAACCAAACCTACCAGACCAAGCGCATATAGCCTCTAGATCCCCATTCACTCTGCGAACCGCTTCAGACACACAGTCCACAGTAGCCTGCGAGTACAGCTGTAGGTCGTCAGTGTTAGTACTATTTACTAGTTTTTTTTAAATATTATACGTTATATAGCAACCCAAACGCCTACTGCGTCGGCAGTCGCGTCTAATCGCGCGCCGCGACCAATCAGGGGTTCTCGTTGTCGGCTCCCGGTGCGACTCAAAGAGTAGCGACCGAGGGGTTTCCTTTTAGAAAGCCGCGCGCGCGCCTTTTCGTGCGCCGACAGTTCACCCGCAACAACTGAAGCATACATTGGTCGCGGCGCGCGATCAGACGCGGCTGCCGACGCAGCAGGCGNTAATACATAATAAAATATTTAATATTTGTTCAGAGTGGGGGTATTCATCTGATTAATCCATGGAATAACCGACACACCTAATCTCTTAACCCAGATAGAAATATCAGCACTGTCGATTGCACCTATAATTGAGGTGATGTCTGCCATGTACTTTTGTCAGTTTTTCAATTTTTTTTATTGATGATCACTTTGTTGGTGCATCTAAATAAATAAATAAATTAAAACTATATATAAAAATAAAAGTAGTGCCAACCCTAGCAAATTTCTCATTTCGTCCCAATTAACCGCAATTTTCGGGTAAATAGGGATTACACCTATTTTTGCATTTTTTGCTTAAACTGGAATGCTAGTTGCATCATTTTAAATTAGACAACAAAGATGCCACCAAGACTCAATCATTTTGATCCTGATATAGCATTATATACATCAACAACTACCTTAAAATTGCTCATAAAGTTGGAATTTGTCCCTAATCGCCCCATTTTACGGTACTTTTTATATTCTTTTGTATTTTCACTTAATTAGCTGAGGTACAATTATTGCTAATTACCAATCAAGCATAATACAGGGAAAAAATTGACACGAATATTTTTTTATGTAATTACGTTCACAAAATAAATTAACAGATTGTAATATACTCTTCCGACTCCTCCCCCTCCTTGCATCGTTCTTCTCATTACTGAGGGTCGTGACTCCCCCACTGCATTAATCTATCTTGTAAGATTGTTCTCCATCTCCATGATGTAATATACTAGATTAGTTGATTTTTAACGATTCATTTTCATCAAAACTTGCAATCGACTAATTTGTTAGATGACGTTTCCACGATTTATTGATCGATTGCCACCCCAATGTCGCTTTGAAATGGCCGACGTTTAGGGGGAGTGTCTCAAGAAATTGAATATCTACGTAATTAATGCTTGACAAGGTAAGTAATTGATAATAAGTTACAAGTACTTAGATAAATTTATCTATGTTGATAGAAAAAAAATGCCAGATCAGTTTGTTTAATAATATATTTTATCCGTTTCCGGTGTCACTGCCGGCCCAGTTATTCAAAACAAAAGGTGTTTGATATTATTTTGATTTAAAATCTGTGTTCATAAATAAGTTTAATCATATTATTAATAAATGTATAGCTCAATAAGTATGTTATTATAGTAAGATATATTATAGTAACTACATAATTATTAGTTTAAATTATTTAAGACAAAGAAACTTGTNTATATTTTAACCGTTTCCGGTGTCACTGCCGGCCCAGTTATTCAAAACAAAAGGTGTTTGATATTATTTTGATTTAAAATCTGTGTTCATAAATAAGTTTAATCATATTATTAATAAATGTATAGCTCAATAAGTATGTTATTATAGTAAGATATATTATAGTAACTACATAATTATTAGTTTAAATTATTTAAGACAAAGAAACTTGTTTGTTTTCAAGAAAAATAGTTCTAATAAAATAGTCCGTCAACATAGCGTAGATAACATTTTTAGGTATATGTTCAGTTAATATTCCTATTACTTATAAACCGAACGTAAAAATTAAAAATATTCTACATTTACAGAACTACAACATTCCAAATTCGAAAGACTGATTATTTTAAACTAAATAAGTGAACAATCATGGCGTGGAGATTTAAAGCATCAAAGTATAAAAATGCGGCGCCTATCGTGCCCAAGCCCGAAGCTTGCATTCGTGATGTATGCGTAGGTTCATACCAGACTTATGGGAACAATATTTGTGCATCTGCTGCCTTTATGGCCTTCAACTGGGAGCATGTTGGATCAAGCATGGCTGTTTTGCCTCTGGACGACTGCGGCAGGAAAAGCAAGACAATGCCTCTACTCCACGCCCATTCTGATACCATAACCGATATGGAGTTTTCTCCGTTCCACGATGGGTTATTGCTGACCGGATCTCAGGATTCTTTGGTGAGTGCATGAAATTTTTGTATTATAACATTACTTTTAGTTTCAGAAAATGTTTCTAATTTTATCAACAATATTGGCTTAAATTATGTTCCACGCAATACAGCAAAATTATCAAACTAGACATGTCCAGCTACTAAATATCTCTTTAGGAATTATTTTCTATGAAATCTTCAAAAATAAAATGGATAAACTATGTTCCTTTATGGTAATCTTTAATGGAGCAGCCTATAAAGGCTAGCTGGCTATGTTTAGTATGGACTTGGGGCACTTTTTTATATTAAATATTTGAAAAATGAAAAATAATCCTAACAAAAATAAACATTTTTTTAGAATAAAATTCCTTAGGCTAATCTTAAACTGTTTCATTAAACAAATCATTTAAATCTATTTGTCAGTTCAAAGAAGCTCTGTAGACAAATATGTATCTTAATAATTTTTTTAATAACGTATGTGGGTATAATTTCGCACCACTAAATCTGCAGTTAGATTTAGCAATGTTTTTAGCACACAGTGATTGTGAGATGTTAGTTTTTATTTAACAAAACATAAATTAGTAGTGACCTGTTTGATTAACAGAGCAAAAAGACTCGCCTTTCCAAAGCAATGTTTCAGCTAATGATATCTGTGAAATTGTTTTTTTATAACATCTCAAAAGAGAATGTGAAGATGCATTGAAAGGAAACTTTGATTTAAAAAAAAAGAATCTCAATTTTACAAAATCATTCTATGAGCTATTTTTTATTAGCAATTGGAGTTCAACTCCATGAACCACGTGGCTTTTGACCATTCTTGGTATATTACTGCACTGGTTGGGATTTGATGTTAGATATCATATACTTGGGTGTCAATGACCTGCCTGAGACGAATGGGGTTATATGTACGTCTGTTTATCTATGCCTATTAACATGTTCAGGAAATTTTTTACTGTGCATGTTTAATAATTTTTGTGTAACACATGATTACTTAACAGTCAACTAATAAAGTTATGTTTGATATTAGAGAAGGACCCTTGCTAAGATTTACTCTTGTATTATGGGAAAAAGACTAGTAGAACAAGTACAGCTTTTTATCTTTAACACTTTTGAAATAAAAACAAACACAAGTTAATGCTACAGTTTTGTGTTTGTTTTTACACATTTATTTATATGTAAATTTTTCTTGTAATAGTTTTTGGTATGTATTTGCAAACTTTTATTTTTGCTTTGTCTCTGAAATAATATCGATAATGAGTACACAGGTGCAAAAGTTGCTAGCGAATTCTGTTACTTGAAATGTATAGCAGATTCCATTAAACTTCATGATAGAAATTATATCAACTTATAATGCACCTAAATCAGTAATGAAATAAATTAGGTGCCCTGTGAGCTTTACTTTCATAAATTATCTTATCTGTTTTAACTATATTTGGTTAAATGAATTGTCAGTGTTGTTTGTTTGTTGATAGGAAATAGAATGAATCATACTATGTTATGCATTGTGTAATTGTATGATGATAATATAATAATCTCAGTTTTATTCCCTAAGTTAATAAATGTCGCTAGGTTTTAAGACATTCTTTCTTGCTGGTTTTTCTGTTGATTGGAACAATTGTTGTTTTTTTGGTTTAAACAGTAAGATTGCCATTGATTGGATACAATCAAAAATAAGTAAATATCATTCCATGCACTCACATGTAGCAACTGTTCTAAAAAAATTAGAGCTGAAATTGGTTATAATAATTGGTAAGACGTTAAGGCCCAAAGGATAAGATTTGCAGTGGATTCATATCAAATGATGCAATTATGATTGTGTTCAAATGTTGTAGACAGGAACCAATCTGTCTAAGCAAGTACCTATTTCATATATTTTCGGTAACAACTTCACTACATAGTATAAAACAAAGTCGCTTTCTCTGTCCCTATATCCCTATGTATACTTAAATCTTTAAAACTATGCAACGGATTTTGACGCAGTTTTTTTTAATAGATAGAGTGATTGAAGAGGAAGGTTTATATGTATAATAACATCCATTAAATAGTGGAGAAATCAATAATAAATTACAGTTTCCGAAGCGAAGCGAGGGCGGGTCGCTAGTCCACTATGAAAGAGTAAAATCAAAGCACATGAAAGTGTTTAAATTATCTATTTCTGAAAATACCATTGTAAGGGTGTAATGTAATCCTGCATGTGAAGGTACCATCGTCCTGTCTTTTTGAGACAAGTGAAGTGCTCTTTCATGTTTCAAGAGCAGTTCNGTTTCACTTCAATTACAGTTTCCGAAGCGAAGCGAGGGCGGGTCGCTAGTCCACTATGAAAGAGTAAAATCAAAGCACATGAAAGTGTTTAAATTATCTATTTCTGAAAATACCATTGTAAGGGTGTAATGTAATCCTGCATGTGAAGGTACCATCGTCCTGTCTTTTTGAGACAAGTGAAGTGCTCTTTCATGTTTCAAGAGCAGTTCTGTTTTAGCTATGTACGTAATTTCTTAAAACAGGTAACCCAGGTGGGTGGCGCATTTACGTTGTAGATGTCTATAGGCTCCAGTGACCATTTAACATCACCTGGGCTGTGAGTTCGTCCATCCATCTAAGCAATAAAAAAAAAAAAACAATTGTAACATGTTTTGGGTAGTTGAACTCTCTAACCAAGGCTATAGTTGAATCCCTTGATTGAGTAGACCTGATATCTTATCCTTTGGCCATGGGTGTTTAGCGTAACTAGGAACCAAGAAGTATTGGACATCCTGTCGCTGTTATAATGAATTAATGATTAAGCAGTAATACAGACACTAATTAACAAAAGGCAAATCATTCATAGGTAAAAGTTTGGCACATACCCCCTGAAGGACTTAAAGAGTCTCTGTCGACTCCGGAGTGCTCTCTCTCACAGAAGCAACGAAGAGTTGAGAATGTCGGCTTTCATCCAGTTGCTGATGGCCTGATTCATGTTGCATCAGGGCATGAGTTGTCTCTGTGGGACTTAACTCAGCAGAAGGAGGCGTTTGGTGAGTTTGACCAATTTTATATTATTTCTTTAATTTCTGCAACTTCTGCAGTGTGACTTTTTCAGTGAAGTTTATGATCACGAAAATTGTGACGTATTTAAAGTAGCAGAAATTATTTTGGAAAATAAATCAGTTTAGTGAAAGCATATAAATAAAATATTTTGAATGAAGCTTAAAAAATAGCTGAGCAGATAATTAAGAAAGTCTGAGATAACCTGATGATTACTTATTTTTACAGTAAACAGGGATCATTCTGAAGTTATTCAGTCAACATCTTGGAAGAAAGACGGCAAGCTACTAGCAACATCATGCAAAGACAAGAAAGTGAGGATATTAGACCCGAGGGCCGCCGCGCCCATTCTGGATGTGGCCAACAGCCATCAGAACATCAAGGATAGCAGGATAGTGTGGTTGGGAGATCAGGATCGGATATTGACTACTGGTAAATTTTTTGGTTTTTTACCTTGAGGTGGAACAGTAGCAGTAAAATCATGTTCATATTACCCATCAAACTAAGTGCTATGTGACCCTCATGAGCGAAAATCTACTTAAAATGCCATTGATTCCAAATAACAATTAATTTAATTTGTTAATAATTAATAATTTCAAAAAAACAATCGATTATAATTCAATTAATAAAAAAATATTATTATTTCCATGCTAAAATAAAATGCCATTATTTCGAAATAACTAAAAAAAATGAACTCCACATAATAGTTTCTTTTAATTTTCAGGTTTCGACTCAGCTCGCCTCAGACAGATTATAATACGTGACGTCCGTAATTTCTCTCAACCTCAGAAAACATTAGAGCTTGATTGTTCCACTGGAGTACTGATGCCACTATTTGATGCTGACACTAATATGCTGTTTTTGGCTGGGAAGGGTGACACAACCATACTGTACATGGAGCTCACCGATAAAGAACCATATCTAATTGAGGGTTTGAGGCATTCAGGTATGGTGAATTAATGTAATAAACCTTATAGGTAGAACTGTAAATGTATAGCATCAGAGAGGAATGAAGAAAGATTTTTTAATTCAAACTGGCCTGACCTGCCGCTACTATAGACTAATTTAAATGNGCTTTCGTTCGTTTTCGTAAACAACCTAACACGCGATTTCTCGTAACAGGTTCCATTTTTATTTTAAAGCAACCTGTTGCTGCAACAGGTTTCGTAAAAAATTACTCATCTTTAGTAGGAAACAGCCTCAAAAATATCGTTTTTATTAAAATATCTCGAACAATAAACATAACCTAAAATGTAAACATTGTCTGATTTTACTAATTTGGCCATTGCTGGGAGACCTGAAAATTGGGCTCATGAAACCTTCTTAGGTATTGTAACTTATGCCCAAATTCTAGCACTGTAACGCCAGGCCCAAGTTTGTATGGATTTCGGGTTTGTCCTTTAAATGCTCGGTATTGCCATCTTTCAGTAGTAAAGCCTCAATGTGAATAATTTTGATTGTAAGATTACACTTTTGAATAACCTCAGTCCATCTCACGAAATTAGGCTAGTAAAGTCTTCAGTGATGAGGATCTGTAGCGGGTAGCTATCATAGTACACAAGATATTTGACAGAGGCTTTAATCTCGCTAGCAAAATTTTCAAGATAAGCTTGCATATATACAAGCTTCGAACACAAAATTTTGCATCCCTTGCTGAGCCCGTGGTCGACTACCTGCCCTGGTAAAACTGGAAAGGCCTTTCGAATACCAGTAATCCTTCCTACAAGAAAAAAAAAACATATTGGACCTTCGGTCTACCTAGCAATTTCACCAGCTAGGTGGAAGATCTTTCCTTTGTTGTCACCCCAAAGATCATAAAGCAGTGTTTGGGATACCAATATCTTATAGTGAAGGTCCTCGCGCGGTATTTATGGGAGTGTGGTGCTGGTGCGAAATGCTCCCAGGAGTATCAATTGCCATTGCTCAAGTTGCACTTAATTCATATACAGAGCTCGCAAAATCATTGGACAAAAAACAAATATTCACACAACGTAGAACTGAAACAGAACTGAAACATTCGGAACTATTCAATTTCATTATCTCAAATCTTAAATCCTATAGATATACAAGTTTGTTCCCTTTCATATCACTTTTGCAGTGTAATTTCTCATTCATAGATATTTTGTTTGCCCTTGTAGGCAGACGAGCATACGGCCCACCTGATGGTGACTGGTTACCGTCGCCCATGGACTCCAGCAATGCCAGGAGCAGAGCCAAGTCGATCCCTACCGCTAAGCCGCTGCCTACCGCAATGACAATGTTGCTTAATAAGATTTCACTTCTGCAAATATATTATGAAATGGTATATTAGAAAATATTGCATGTGCTCGTTCCTTACAGGAGAACAAACCAAAGGCGCTTGCCTGGTACCGAAGCGAGCTCTCCGGGTCATGGAAGGTGAAGTCAACCGAGTGCTGCAACTGACCGGGTCCTCTGTAGTACCGATAATGTATCAAGTACCCAGGAAGGTGGGTGCTTAAAAAATAATTATCTAAGTTAATTAAATAACATTTAGATTTTTATTAAAAGGACCGTTGATGGTCCCTCCTTACTGCCATCAGTCGGAGCTCTTTTAAATTGCCTTGGCAGAGTCTGGTCAACTTTTTTTTTTATGAATGAGCTATTACTGGTGCCCAGAGGCCTTTCCAGTTTCATCAGGACAGGTGGGTAAAGGTTCAGCCAGGAGGGGTGGGATTTGCCTACAGCTGCAGTTAACTGTTAAGGTAGGACCTCTTGTGAGTCCGCGCGGGTGGGTACCACCACCTTGCCTATTTCTACCGTGAAGCAGTAATGCGTTTCGGTTTGAAGGGTGGGGCAGCCGTTGTAACTATACTTGAGACTTTAAAACTTATATTTCAAGGTGGGTGGCGCATTTACGTTGTGGATGTCTATGGGCTCCAGCAACCACTTAATACCAGGAGGGCTGTGAGCTCGTCCACCCATCTAAGCAATAAAAAAAATAAAAAACTTGGTAGGCAGCGGTTGGACTGCCCCTGGCATTGCTGAAGCCCATGGGCGATGGTAACCACTCACCATCAGTTGGGCCGTATGCTCGTCTGCCTAGAAGGGCAATAATAAAAAAAGAAACTTCCTAGTTTTTCCTTCCTAGTAATTATATAGGAATGCCAGCCCAGGAGGGCAAAACTTTAATTTATTTTTATTCGCTTGGACAATTGATATCCTATAAGTGGAGTTTCGTGTGCAGAGCTACCGCGAGTACCACGCGGACCTGTACCCGGACACGGCGGGCACGCTCACGTACCTCAGCGCCCCCATGTGGCTGGACAGTCTGGATCACCCAGTACCCAACATTTCTTTGAACCCAGCGGATAATAACTGCACCCAGGTATGTATTGTCCAGCAGCAATAGTGAGTCGTTTTTCTTTAATTTGTTAATGTGAGCGGTGTTATATTTTTATATGAATCTTTTTTTTTTACGTTAAATAAATTTTCATTATAATTGGCTGGAATTCCGGTTGGTACTATTTTAGATTGGATTTTGATGAGACAGATTATTGGCTGTTAAAATTGCAAGTGTTGGTGTTTGTTTATTATAATGTTTTAAGTTTAATTACTTTTTGACTACATTGCTTCAATTGAATTGAAGAGTATCGGTGGGCGGATAGTATAAATAGTTATATACATATGTATTTAGTTAATTGTTGTATTGAAAGGGATGTTTTTTTTAAAAGTTTATTTGAGTAATTTTGTATGCGGTTTTATTTTCTTTTGTTGCTGGTCGGGTGTGTTTTGTGGAATTATATAATATTATATATTTTCATGTATTTCGTAGAATAGTTAGTGATTTTGTTTCGTGATAAAAAAAGTATTTTTTGTTTGATTAGTAATTTAATTAGTGAATGGGTTATTTTGGTTTGACTGTTCTTGGTTTAATGTAAGTACTTTTTTTTTAGTTCAGCTTTGTTCGCATGTGTTTGTTTGCTCTTACATGTATTTAATTATCAGTAGCCATACTTACTTGTAATTACTGGTTTATAGATACATCGCGGTGATTTAGATGAAGTAGTGAAGGCGATTTTGTCAATGCCGCCATTAAAAAAGACCGAAGCCAAAAAGACTGCCGTGTCTCCTCGCATCGAAGACTTGAAGCCGTTACCGAAGACTCTACCGACACCAGACCCAGAAGAAGACCGCATCGATTTCGTGAACGTTAAAGACCTCATCAAAGGTATGGAGAGGCAGACCAAAGAACCAAAAGAGACGAATGGCTTCAGCAAGAAGATCACGGATAACGGACACGAGAACTCCACAAAGAGTTACGAGTGCGAACAAAACGAGACGACCGATGAGAAGACTGGGAAGACCGAGAAGACCGTCGATAAATCGGACAGCATCGAGTCCCCGGAGGGTTCCATGTCGAGGAGCAACAGCCTGGTCAACGGCGCGCCGACCCAGGCCCCGAAGCCGCTGCCCAGGTCCTCCATATCCGAGCCCGGCTCTGCGGACGAGCCCTCTGAAGTTCCCAAACCCAAACCCAGGACGACCGCCTCTCAGATATCTGGATACAAGGTATTTCTTACACTTGGCCAACGCGTGTGTGTCTTAGTGTGTCGCTAGATTTCTGTCGAAATAAATATTTTATTTTTTAGTTTATTTTTTGTGTTAGAATAATTGTAAAAATAATAATTTGTTTTTATTTTTTTCTAATTGTTTTTGTTTGATTTGTTTTTATTTTTAGTTTTGTATTTTGAGGGTTAATATTAGTCATGCTTTAATTTATGTATTATACAACAGATCACAGCCTCAAAGATTTTCGAAGTTTTCGTCGTTGGTTTAGTTCTCGATCCACTCTGTGGAAGCTTTTCGATGAAATAGCTTGGTATGGCGCTGCTAGTTTGTGTATGACGTGCTTGCGGGGCGACAGGCGAAAAGCTCGAAGCACCGGTAGTCAACTTGGTACCGTCGGAGGGAGAGCAATACGGCGCTGGTCTCGATCGAATCAAAGGGTTTCTCGTAGGCCAAAAAATAATTAATGTACTATGTATATATTTTAATTATTATTTCCTTTGGATTTTGCAAGTCGTAAACATAATTAAAATTACTTTTACGGCTTTAATCTCGCGTTTTTTTATTATAGTTGTTTTTGTTGTTATTAAATTGTTTCTAACATTTCCGGATATTTTACGAAGCGAATACTTTACTTTACTGGAGCGTAGACTCCCGCTCCGTAAAACGTCGTTTTCCTGTAAAGCGTAGTTTTGCATGTGTATGTTCTTGGAGCAAGATCCCATAGTTATAACCCATTGAGTTTCTGTCTTGATCTTCTCAGTGAGTCGGGATTCCGATACGATAATAAATTTCGCACAGCACTGCTCTTGCTAGTTCTAGTGTCAACAAACTCTCTCAGGTTGAGCCCGTGAGCTCGCTTACTCTTCCGTGTGTAGCTGGAATAACCTCTTAGACTATCACGAATAGGCTTTTAAAAAAGTGGTTACGATCAGCCTCCGGTATTGATAAATTAGAAAACTGTTTCGCAAATCGTCGCAACGTGCTTGTATCGAGGGGAAATTACATCATGAATGGATTAGTGCTGGATTATTAAGCTATTTCATAGCTTTTATCGCGGGCTTTGAGCGCGGCGACCGAATCAAGAAATTCCGTAACGAAAATGAAACCTAACGCCTCCCCACTCCGCCTACCATGTAGCTCGCGTTCAACACGTTCACACGTTGCGCTTGCGTAGTGTTTGTCAATAAGCGCGCGGCGTGACGGCGCACTGCACGCCCATCTCTCTCTCGCGTGATTTAGCTTAAGAGTGTGAAAGGGACAGTTAATGTTTTGCATGGTCTTATTTTATTATTGTTTTAATATTAAATTATTATTGTCTAATTATAATTGCATACGTTGATAAAAAATGCTATGCAATAGCTGTACCGCGGCTCAGTCCCCGAGTGCCATTAGTTTTTTGAATAATGAAGGGAGGTCGTGTTGTTGTGACAGCCCCGCCTGGGACCAAAGCCGTTCTCGGCGTCGTCGGGCAGCGACGAGTTCTCGTTCGACAAGGTGTTCTCCGTGCCGACTGTACCCGGACTCAAATCTGATGCAGGTCAGTTAGAATTATCATCATCTCAGCCTGTCCACTGTTGAACATAGGTCTCTCCAATTGATCTCCAGTGCGGCCGGCCTGTTACCACCTGCATCCAACGTGACCCAGCGATTTTCAGTATGCTATGGGTCCTTCTGGAAGGTGGCCGACGATTACAATTACAATTATAGCTTTTCTAAATATACCATAGACGTTATATTGTTGATAGTTGTTTCAGGAATATAATATGCCGATGGTAGACTATTGTATTCATTCTCATGTTGCTCTTAAGTTCTGGCAAATTTTTTATGACCTTCCTTGGGAATGCTATTGTTGACCTTGGGCCTAGGTTGTATTGGCTTTGGGACGGTATGGATGGATATGTTATGAACGGAATGAAAATGAGGTAGGCTCTTTTGTAAAACTGCGGAGGTGGGTATCATTGTGGGCCCGTCTGTGCAAAAACAGTAATAAATGATAATTGTCCTTCGTAGTCACCTCACCGACATCCACGGAGGCCACCACCCCGGTCTCCGTACCGCTGGTGAAGGACTCGTCCGAAGAGAAGGATAAGTCTCTCTCGCCGACTAGCGATATGGACAATCAGCCCAGCAAAGGTGAGAATCGATTATATGCCACCAATTCCTGGTTAAGTATTTATTAATTGTACTCGATGGGACAGACGCCTTATCGGTTCCCCTTATAGCGAATGGTCCCGCTGATGGTGAATGGTTGTCGTTGCTCATGGTCAGTTTTGTTACGAGCATAGAGAAGGTGTTGTCCGACGCGGCTAAACATGGTAAGAGATGTACGTTTTAATTACTGGTGGTAGGACGTCTTGTGAGTCCGCGCGGGTAGGTACCACCACCCCGCCTATTTCTGCCGTGAAGCAGTAATGCGTTTCGGTTTGAAGCGTGGGGCAGCCATTGTAACTATACTGAGACTTTATAACTTATATCTCAAGGTGGGTGGCGCATTTACGTTGTAGATTTCTATGGGCTCCGGTAACCACTTGAACTGTGAGCTCGTCCACCCATTTAAGCAATAAAAAAAATTCGCAGAGGAGTATATAAATGGAAAATCTGACACGAGTCTCGAGGAAGAGGTGAATTCATCTGATTCCGGCTACAGACCCAAGACGCCCAGCACCGCGGAGAGAAGGAAGATGTTCGAGTCGACTGAGTGAGTTCGGACTTGAAACTAGTCAAGAGTTGGAAGCCTATAATTGTGTTACAGTCATATTTTGTTGATTATAGCCTTTTTGTTCAATTTGATTTTAAGTTCCTCGTCTTAAAATAGGGACTGTTCAAGTATTACGTAAGCAGATTTATTACAATTATTAAACCCCCTTTCCTCTTGTCAGCAAAAGTAAGAAAAGCTTTGACCCAATGCTAACGTAAACAATGGTAAATGAATTTTTCTATTAATGTATTCTAATTTTTTTAATGATTCACGAGCAGCAGTTATAATTCTAGATATAAGAAAATAAACTTACGATAGAGGACATGTAACGCACATTATATTCATTTATATGCGCGCGATAATTCCCCTACACGGTTCCAAGCGAGTACCTAAACGTATTCATTTTATTTATGGGAATCCCCGAAAATACGTTCCGTTTTCAAGCATAGACAATGTCTAGGCTGCCAATATGTGTAAAAAAGTAAATTAACTACTGTTGACGTAATCACCATCCAGACCCCCCGCCCCTCATGCCACCAAAAATAAGCAAAGCGAAGATTACCCCGCTCCCCCTATAGTGCTTACGTAATATTTGAACGGCCCCCATATGAGGCCACTGTACCGTCACCGTGTCGGCAGGTGCGGCGCGGGGGTGCAGTCCATAGCGGACCGGCGCCGCGCCTACGAGCTGCGCTCCCTCAGCGCGCTGGAGCCGCCCCCCTCGCCCTCGCCCGCGCCCCCCTCCCCCGCGCCACTCAGGTAACACTCGCCACTCGGAACTGTTGCGTGCTATGTATTGAAACGTCCGAGTACCGTTGACAACTGTTTATTAATGAATATCAAGATACCCTCAAAAGCCACCAACCAACCTCGCCCTCAAAAAAAAAAAACATAATTAGCCCGAATTGAAAATTTCAATTTATTTGATATTTTGTTTTGTATATCTTCTTGAGGGCGATGCGTCACATGATCAGGATAATAATATGTGTTCTAGTCAAAGACTTCATTGATACTATTGGGTAGTGTGGATGGTTAATATAAGTACCACCCACATAAGTCACCTACCATATTTGATACCATATTGAATGGAATATTTGAAATGTATCCAACTGATCATTATCTTTATCTCTATATATAAAAATGAATTGCTGTTCGTAAGTCTCGCTAAAACTCGAGAACGGCTGGACCGATTTGGCTAATTTTGGTCTTGAATTATTTGTGGAAGTCCAGAGAAGGTTTAAAAGGTAGATCAATATGAAAATACTCGAATAACAATTTTGTTTTTCCTTTGATGTGTCCCCGTCGGACCGATTCCTTTAGTTTGTTTTAAGTTTTAAGTTTTATTTATTGATTGAGGCACTACGAAGTCTGCCGGGTCAGCTAGTTTTTATAAATGTATCTTTTTTTATTTGTTAGTTTTTGGTAATTTTAAGAGTGCTTCAATGATACTATGTACACATATGGACTTGTTTCTGTTGTCTGAAATAAAATAAATCATTCAATCATTCATTCATTCATATTGTCCCGCAGACGCAGAGACTCGCTGAAGTCCCGCAAGAGTCCTGACCGGGAGGAGAAACGTTCTTCAGTACCTAACGTTACTACCAAGAGAACTTCAACTGTCTTCGGTAAGAGTACACGTGTTGACTCATTTGTTTTCAAACAAAGTTTATGTAATATATGTACCTAGTCTTGCCATAAATACTGAGACAAAGGAAAAAAAAATTCTATTGCAAATAACATTTATTACTTTTACAGTGTGTTAGTTTAATACATAAATATAAAAGAATTTAAAGTATAAAAAGCTTATTCGAAGTGGTCTCCGTTGGCTGCAATACAGTTCCTTTATACGTTGAGGCCAGTTATCAATAGAAGCACGCACTCTTTCCATGGGAAAAATTTTCACTGCCAATCACACGGATTGTTTTAGGGACTCCAAATTATCATGGCGCTTAGAGCAAGCCGTAGTCTCTAAAACTGACCATAAATCATAATCCAGCGGATTAAGTATATAAATGAATTTTTTTATTGTTTTTTTTCCATTCATTCATTCACTATCGGTACCAGAGACTGATAAACATACTTAAATGTGTTTGAATATATACTATATAGATAATAAACACCCAGACAAAGAGCAAACAAACCACACACACACATAATGTTGGGATGTGGGAATCGAACCCACGACCCTCGGCACAGGAGAGTGCTAACTGCATCAGCGAGTCAGTTAAATTCTATTGTATGATATTCTTGACCCTTCAAGGACGGTTATTCTAATTACATTTTTGCTAACAAATGACGTCATCGGACAGGTAAAGTGTCCAAGTTTCGACATCTGAAGGGCACGCCGGGACACAAGTCCACTCAAGTCGAGAACATCAAGAACATCAGCCGGCAGATCTCTGGAGAGTGCAACGGATTTTACGGTAAGGCACCCGCAGGTCATATTATAATAATTGAAGTGAATTAATTCATTATTGAAGTGAATTTTGAAGTCGTCGTGGCCTAAAGGATAAGACGTAAGGTGCATTCGTATCTAGCGATGCAACGGTGTTCGAATCCTGCAGGCGGGTACCGATTTTTCTAATGAAATACGTACTTAACAAATGTTCACGATTGACTTCCACGGTGAAGAAATAACATTGCGTAATAAAAATCAAACCCACAAAATTATAATTTGCGTAAGTGGTAGGACATCTTGTGAGTCCGCGCGGGTAAGTACTACCACCCTGCCTATTTCTGCTGTGAAGCTATAATGCGTTTCGGTTTGAAGGATGGGGCAGCTATTGTAACTATACTGAGACCTTAGACTTATATCTCCAGATGAGTGGCGTATTTACGTTGTAGATGTCTATGGGTTCCAGTAACCACTTAACACCAGGTGGGTTGTGAAGTCGTCCACCCAACTACGCAATAAAAAAAAAATCATATGCGCATTCTAAATCGAACATTGCAATTTTATTTTATCAGAGACCACTAAGTCACTGACCCTGCGCATTAGCTGATTCGTTTGTTTTCAAAACAAAAATATTTAGTAAACTGTTTATCGATCGCGGTTTTATTGTTACTATGGCAGGGGCACTGGCGGATTTGCCGTTTCGGCCGCCCTAGGCCCCAAGCCATCAGCCGCCCCCTTCTCAGCATCCACCATATAGACTACATAATGAAATTACTTTATTGCCAACTTTTATCTAAATAGATTTAGAAATTTAGGAAAAAAATTAGTTTTATGCGGTATAGATTGCACCATGCAGTGCAGTCCGCTCGCCATACGTTATAATAAGTTGTTTGACACGATTGGGGCCGCCCCTAAATCCTATTGGGGCCATAGGGTAAATCCGCCACTGGGCAGGGGTCATCAGCACTATCACGGTCTTCGCACACCACGTATCGCTTTAAGAGTGAAATAATACATAAGTCCGTTCTGATTGTGTACAGCGAACGGCGTGCGGTGCGCCGTCCCGCTGGCGGGCGGGGGCGGGCGGCTCGGCGTGGTGGAGCTGCCCGCGGGCGCCAGCCCAGTGTCGCGCGGCGCCGCCCCCCCGCCCGGCGGCCTGCACCCCCCCGCCGTGCTGCACCCCGCGCCGCTGCAGGACTGGTGCTGGGACCCCTTCAGGGACGACCGGCTCATGGTCGCCTGCGACGACGGTCTCATCAGGGAGTGGATCATACCAGAGAACGGTCAGTGTTGCCATTTTATTGTAAACTAGCTGACCCGGCAGACTTACAGTGCCTCAATCGATAAATAAAAGACCTAAACTTTTGTATAAAATAAACTTAAAACAAACAAAAGGTATGCTTCCGACGGGGGACACATCAGAGGGAAGAAGAAATTTGTTATTTTTATTTAATCCGAACATTTTTATATTTATCTACCTTTTAAACCTTCTCTGGACTTCCCCAAATAATTCAAGACCAACATTAGCGAAATCGGTCCAGCCGTTCTCGAGTTTTAGCGAGACTAACGAACAGCAATTCATTTTTATATATATAAGATAGATATAGATATTAAATTTTTGGTACTTTTTTACATATTTATGTTAAAAAGATATTATAGTTCATATACTGTTGTTAAAACTGTGTCTGGTAACAGTGAAACCCTGTCTGCATTTAAGTAAACAACAATTCTCTTCCCTTGATTTCATTAACCGATCAATAATTCTCACAGGTCTTCAAGAATCAACAAACGAACCAAATCGCATATTCTCAGCTCATCCGGACAAAATCTACATTATACGTTTCCACCCCACGGCCTCCGACATCCTGACCACGGCCGCCCACGACCTCACCGTCAAGATCTGGGATCTCAGCGTCGACGAACCGAAGGCGGAAATTATATTGACCGGTCACACCGAACAAATATACGCTCTAGACTGGTCACCCTGCGGAGAATATTTGGCTACACTGTGTAAAGATGGCTTAATTAGGGTGAGAACTTAGACATAATAATATGTGAATTCTTTTTAAATTTATTCTATAAACTATATTTATTTATCTACATTGGATTCCATTGATAAAGTTTGACTAAAATAATTGATTTATTTAAATAAAAATATTTTTCTATTTTAAGGCAAATATTTTGGAAAATGTCAACAAATTGTGCTTTTGCTTTGAACACTGAGGTAATCGTTGAAACGGATTCATAAAGAATTGTACAGATTAATGATGATGATCAAATCATTGTTGGTTATTTTAGTTGCGATTCCACTTCAAACTTGAAACTAAATTATGTATGTGTTTTTTTTCTTTTATACGAAAACCAACGCCATAAAACTATGAATAAAATCAATGGAACCAAAATAAACATGTAATGGTGCTCAAAAAAGGTTATCATCCTTTTTATTTGTGTATTTCTCTTAATTTACTTTTGTAACTGCCGTAGATTGCGGGGAATCTGCACCCTTTCCAAATCCAACACAAATTTTCAATGGTTTTTCTTAGGGTAATAATACCAATAAAATTGATAATACCAATTAAAATGGTTTTGGGGCTTAAATTTTTATATAAGATGCGTTTATTATACATAGTTCATTACAAAATATACACAAAAACTAAAAAAACTAGCTTGACCCGATTCACCTTAACTTTGGGGTGAATCAGGTTACGTATGGGGATAATAGAGTTTTTCGATGGGGCTGGTACTATTTAGTTGTTAGGTACCTAACTTTAGGTAATTAACTTTTTAATATCTTTAATGAGTTACAAATTTTGATGACCAAATTAAACTAATTAATATTCTTAAACGCTAAATACAAGTCATTTTCAGTTCAACAAAGCTTAATCTAACAACTCAACAAAAGTGTTGTGACATCCCAGATTTGTCCCTATTCTAACTCTAGTCTCTATTCCCCCCGATCTACTGTAATCAAAATGTAACACTAAAATGTAATTATATTAGTTCTTCAATTCAAGAAAGCATCATAAAAAAATTTGAACTTTAAGCAAAGGCCACTGAGTACCGTTGATCAATTTTTCTATGTCAGATTTTGTTATCAAACAAAAAAAGAAAAACGCAAAATTGGCCCGAATTGAAAATTTCAGTTTGTTATATAATATTTTGTTTATTATATTTTGTTCCTAAAATTTCTAAAACAAATGGGAGAATAGATTCTCCCCAATCTACTGGTATCTCATTTGTGTACGTTGCGCAGATTGTGCATGTTTTTTCGACGGTTCAAGATTCACTATTAGATAAAATTCCTTATTGGCAGTCTGTGTAATGATGTAACATTTGTGTCGGCAGGTGTACGCCCCCCGCTCGTCCGCGTCCCCGCTGCGCAGCGGGGCGGGCCCGGCGGGGTCGCGGGGGGGCCGCCTGGTGTGGGCGCTCGGGGGGACGCATCTAGTCGTCACCGGCTTCGACAAGTTAGTACACTAGCGATGAGACATACTTGCAAAATTGAATACCAAGGCTTTTTTTTGCTTAGATTGGTGGACGAGCTCACAGCCAGCTTTTTTTTTTTTTTTTTTTTTTTATTACTTAGATGGGTTGACAAGCTCACAGCCCACCTGATGTTAAGTGGTTACTGGAGCCCATAGACATCTACAACGTAAATGCGCCAC